AATAATATAGGATAATTTAATTATCCTATATTATTTTCCCCTCAAATAATAATTTAGGAATAAATAAGAGCATAAATAAAACAATACATATAAGACTAGAAATAAATTATAAAACACAAATATAGATCAAATTGGAACAAAAAGCTAAGAAAGTTGCAGACAGGGTGCAAAAAGCGTATGAGATTCGAACTCACGACCCCAAAAGTTAAACCTCGTTATCATCAGTTTACCACTAAGCTACCATCAGATGGGAGTCGTATGCATATTTGGGCTTATATACATCATCAAGTAAATCCATTCTTAAAACTAAATTTTTTGGGTCCTATTTCAGTGTTCTATCGTCTAAAAAATTCACCAGAGTTTGTTCTTCAGCGTCTAGTACATTTTTTACAAAAAAACATTATCTTTTAAAGTGGCGTTCCGATTGAATTCAAACGGGCTACTAAAAATATACTTCATGTGCTTACAAATATATGTTAGCCAAAAAGATATATTAAATTTGTATTTCTCTATTTATATATATATTCTTTAGCGCAGTGGAATATTTAAAAGACTATCAAATTTAATTTATAATTAGCGTTTTTAGTTTTTACCTCTTTCAAAAGAAAAAAAATAACAAATCTTTTAATCATATCTGATTTGCTATAGCAGTTTGATATAGTCAAACATTCATTATCATTAAAGGTAAATAAATGAGTATGCAGAGCTAGGAAATAATTGTCAGAACAAATTTTACTATTTCATGGACTTGGATTTATCATTTTTGCCGCTGATTTTCTTGAATGCCTGATTTTATCTGCGAACAAGTACTGTAGTTGCAGTTATCTTATTTTTCTTATCTTTTTTTTAACTAAATTCAGCTGATTGCTGACTTTTTCAGCACATAGAGTTCTCGCTATAATATTAATTCAGAAATAAGTATTTTTTAGCAAAACATTCTTTTCCTAAGCGAGCATTAATTGCTACTTCTGCCGCCATTAATTTTTGGTGACTACACCTGATTGCTCTCTTTTTACCACGTGACCCCATCGCATCCGCAGACATATGGATAGAAGTTGAACATTGTTGAACTCCATCCATACATCATCCATCACCGCACATCGACCGGAGTGCAGATGTCAGTCAAAGTGAATTCGCTCGCTGATTGGAGAAACGCATACGCAGCAGTGGAAACGGGCCTTTAGTCTTCTTTGCGATGACAGTGTCCCAGTAATTGATCAACAAATGGTGGAATCTATATAGTAAAGGAAATGATACGCTGTTAAGAATGAAAAGATGTCAATAGTGTATTGAATCGGAATTCTTCACACAGTGACCTAAGAAATGAAATTGTGTAGCTGAACAAGAAATTGTCTTTCAGTGAAACTGGAAAAAAATTAATATATGCACTCATATGCACATGTGAAGTAAACAAATAAAAAACTGCTCAAGAAAAATTAATAAAGCAAATACTTTTTAACATTGCACTTAATTTTTATTTTTGTTAATTTTATTTCCTGTAAGATCATAAATGACTCCATTATTTCACGAACAGTCATTTTATAGCTTTATAGTTTCTACATATCTTTGTATTAAATTTGTAATAATGACGTAAAATCCGGAATCACCAAAGTGATTCCAAATCTTGGAGTTTCTGTACGTATTCAAAAGCCGTATTTATTTATTTTTTGAGAAGATAATTTTAAGGTGCTCTCCTCAGTTAATGTGTTATCTAAATATGAACAGAAGGATTAAGTCTAAACTCTTGAGTTTAGGCTGAATTTTCTTCCTTGGAAAAGTTGCAAGTGTATTTTTTAGTCCAAAACTCAAGACGTTAAATACATGAAAGGTGAAAGTCATGAAATTAACTGTCTTATTTTTTTTTTATTTATCTTAAAAAATATCAGTTTTTCCATACATATGTTTGAAAGTGTGGAACATATCGAAGCATTAATATACATTGGTATATCAGAGAGTAATATTCCATATTTATTTCATTAAGTTTGTTGCTTAAATCATTGTTAATAGATGATGATAGTGCCTCCTGGGAATTAAAAATTCATATACAGTCAAAAGTCGTAAATTCAGACACCCATTATCCGGACCTCAAAGCCACAAACTTTCTGCGCATGTGCTGCGTTGACACATGCGCGTAAAGACCTTTACGGCTGCTCGTTTAATGTATAACGGACGGTATAAGCTAAGCTAAATTTATCTAATTCAGTTAATGTTGCAGATTGCGTTGTTCCTTAATCTTTGAATTGGAACCGGCTAATTATTTTTTGCAGACTGTTAAAGCAATTTTATAAAAGTAAGCTTGAACTTTCGATTATGTCAAATAGAATTTCCGATATATATTTACTAATATGTAAAGGATCTACAAAGTGAAAGTATGTTTCGAAGTCCATTAAACAAAAAGTGGAATTGCTGCAAAAAATGGATAAAGGCATATCCTTCGTTTCTCTAACCATTCCGAAATCTGTTTATCAATTTCACGCTACTCTGTGGCGGGGAAGGGGGGAACGACGCAGCGCGCAATGAATTGGAAGTTGATCTAATCAAATTCCTCGTCATTATAATTCGCTTCCGATAGTGAAGAAAGTGACACAGAGGTTATTGAAAAACAAAAAAATTTCGATTGACAAATTAGTGGGTATTCTCGACACAGCAAATACAGGACTTGAACAGCGGAACTTTGTAACTGAAGAAGAAATTATGTCTGTTTATAGAATTAAAGAGAAAGTTAAACAACTTACATTGAAATATATGTTTAATAAAGTAAACAAATAAATATTAAGCTTTTTTTGTGTAAATTTCATAAATTATGGTTTCATATTTTTAATTTTATAATTTCTGCATGCCATCTTACCAGATTTAAACTGATGATCTATAATCCGGAATCGCCGAAGTCCCGACGAGTCCGGATTAAAGACTTTTGACTGTATAACTGTTTCTTTAAATCATTTTAATTCAAAAGTAATGTTTATTAAATCTCTTGGCAAGCATAAACAATTCTTTAGAACATCTAGCTACTGATTCTGATGCTGTTCCTCACAAAGTGATTTTGGATAACAAAACTAACCAACATTCAAGCGAAAAGTTTTCCGAAGCTATGCACGACAGCAAAACTCTTACAGACAAATCCCGTTACGCTAGACAGGTAAAATTGCCAGTCTGGTTTTGAGATTGAAATTAAGCCTACAACTGTCCCTCCGTTCTTCACCACATATACTTAGCGTAGTAGCTTAGTTACTGGTGAGGGAGTACTGTTGGCAACTACTCCAGTAAAAGAAAAAGAAGAAGAAAATAGTTATTGATTTGAGCGTTTTGGCAACAAGAGAGAAACCAGACGGTAACCGTAGAACTAGCATTTTTTATTTAGAACTTTAATTCAATTTTTGGGAACTTTTAAATTGGCTGTAATCGAATATTGTTGTTTAAATGATTATCCTTTAAAACTAAAAATTTAAACAATATTAGGTAAATATAAAACTAAGAGAAGCTAAGTCAGTCTATGATTATTTCTACGTGATGAATGATTTGTCATAGAAGACATTAGTGTTTTTCTAGTAGCTGTCCGGAATGTAATCCAGCTTCAAGAAAATTATCAAAAGGGTAAGTCTTGAAATTTATTGAGCCCTTATATGAGTAGATTAGCCCTTATATTAGTCCCGACGAGTCCGGATTAACGACTTTTGACTGTATATTTATTCCATCACAGTGAATGTACACATTTGGTATATCCATTTCATATGGGTGAGCAGACCAAGCAAATTGGTCAAGGGAAAAAGCTGTAATTTTATTTTTTGTGGGCTAAAGGTATGTTTATAGTGAAATTAGTTCATTTTATGATACTTGGTTTCATAACTGAACAATGTATAAGGAAGTATTCACATGAATTTCAGATTGCAAGTATTATGGTATTGCTTAAACAAATAACTTTTAGCTTAAGCCAGTTGTAGTGAAAACCTTGATTTAATGATAAAGGAGAACAGAAAAGTGACTCTTGCTTGTTTATCATTATAATTTGATTTATAATGACACAGTATAAAAGTTTTTCATCAGTATCTAGTCAGCTATAATATTGTCAGCAAGTAGGTTCCCAGTCAATTAATGGAAGATAGCAAGAAAATGTAGATGGCAACTTATTTGATCATGGCCAGTGCTATGTGGAATATGGGGAGAATTCTTCTCCAGTACTGAATAGGAGGTGAAACTTCCATGTTTCATGAAACAGTGATGTGCAAAGTTTGGGATGCACCATAGTTCCGATGTCACGAAACAATTCAAAGCAATTACAAGGCCAAAAAAGTAATGCCACCAATGTTTTGGGACATGTATGGAATGCTTTTGGTGGAATATGCTCTTTGCATTGCATCAGTTAAAGCAGCTTCCTTATTAATCCTCTGAAAATCTGAAGGAGGTTATTTATTATAAACGACTTTCTTACTGCACTTGGGAGTTTTGCTTTGATATGACAATGCAAAGCTAATGCCCTTGTAATCCTAGTAGTTTTAAATTCTGCCACATTCTACATTTAGTAGTGAAGTGGCACATTCAGATTCATATATATTCCAAACTGGAAAACATCTTCAAGGACAATATGTTTGATTATATGATGGTGTTAAAAAAAACTATCAGAGATTAGCCTCATCATCAAAATAACATCATTCTACTACGAAGGTTTTGATTCTTTCATTTACTGGTGAAGTAAATGCCTTAATAAATGAGGTAACAATGCTGAGAAAATAGTAAATATGTATCTTCATATTTGCTAAACTCTCTTCACTGTGTATTAACGAACATTAATTTTTTTTTTTAAAAAAGGAACCTCAATTTTTTATACATACTCATATTTGTGCATTTCAAACATTTGTAATCTTTTGTAGGCATCATAAAAAATGCAATAAAATAGACTGCTAGAAATATAATTTATAATTCTTTATAATTATCATAAAGGAATTATTACTTTAAAAAATATTTTTTTCTTTTAGTACATGTCTTTTTTTTATATATTTTAGCTCTAATACGCAAGTATAACCAAGTAATTCAACGCTATTATGTTCAGTATTTAGCTGGCTATGATGCTGTTGCACTGAACCATATGATTCAAGTATGTACTTTATGCTTATTTTTGTTAGGTGTACCATGTTGCTATAAAAGGTTTTCTACTGCTAAATTTCTTTATAACAAATATAACATCATGCTGTATAATCTATGTGATTGTCTGCTTTTTTTTTCCCCTCCCTAGAATGTCTCTGTAATTCCAGAAGAGGATTCTGTTATTCTTTCATCATTGTGTAGCACAATTTCGTCACTCAGTGTAAAACAAGGTAAATTAAGAATAGGCCAAATTTTATTTGTATTTAATGTAACTTTTTTAGGTTTAGACATTATGTATAATTTTTGTTATTATTGTTATTAGTTGAAGATAATGAACTGTTTGATTTCCGAGGTCTGCGTTTAGATTGGTTTCGATTACAGGTAATTTTATTTTTATACATATAGCATTGTTATATTAAAACAAAAGAAAATATTTAAATACATACTACAACAAGTTTTTGCTTTATTAATGACTGGAAAACATTTAGTCATTGAGTTTACTTAATTCAAACATGCTTTTTCTTAATTTTTTTCCTGTTCTTATACTAAATGAATGCTTAAGAGCATGCTTAATACTGAGTGCTTTTGAAGTTTCCTTTTCATTTCTTTCCATATATGTCTGATTAGAACAACATCTTAATGGTTGTGAGGAAGTTTTCAGAATTATGTATTGTATAACAAATACTCCTTTACAATTTGAGCTTTGTGTGTTAGGATCATTTTCTTCTTAAAAGTAAAATTTTCTAAAAAGACCTAATTTTCATGCAGCTTGTTTCAGATTAATTTTTTAAATGTGTAGATAGCCATATTGATTCAAAATAGCATCAGCTTTATGCAAGTTTCCAATAATATTTGCAGCCATACCTTCATATTTCCACAATAAATTTTACAGGTGTTTGTGTGTTTTCCTTCTTAACCCTTTCTGGCAGGCTACCTTTTAAAGTTGGAATTTTTATTTAAAAAAAGGGGGTAGGCAGTCTAATTAGGCCTAGAGGAGTATACAAGTAAAATTTCGTGAAGATAGCACATATCATTTTAATTACATGGGTGTGCTGAAAGTGGGCACACTGATTGAATAGAGCTTCGAAAAGAGTGCTGAAACAAGCATTGTTATCAATAAACTGACCGATAAGATGCGGAGATACAAAGAATACAAATTCTCAGTTGTCCTAGATTATCGGTGAGCTTGGTCTGGGCACACCTAGGGTTTGCCGTTTGATTTTAGGCAAGATTTCAAGGTAAAAATTTAAAACTAATATAGAATAAAGAGATTAGCATACAGCCAAAAAATAACATAGAATTTTCATTTCAAACAGTTCCTTTATACCCTAAAAAAATCTGGAAGATTTCTTGAAAATGAGGGTCTTAAAAAACTAAACATGGCTAAAATATATGGAGTGGTTTGTGTTGAGCTGCCATCTACTATAAATAAAGAAGGTTCAGAGTAACTTATAAATCCTTTTTCATTCAATTTTTATGTGCGTACAGAAGGAAATTTTTAGGTGTGTCCAGACTGGACACCCTGTGCCGCAAAGGGTTAATGGGTTCTCCAACCTTCTTCCATACCAAATTGCATCCATCCCACTATTTAACATTAAGTTCACTTTTATATAAAAATATATATATATATATATATTTGATGCCAGAATTCTTAAGACTTAATGAATTCTTTTGCAGATTTTAATTACTTCTCGCTGTTAGCTTTACTTATGAATGGTTTTTGTTTAGCTACTTGACCATGATATCCAGTTTTTTTTTTTTTTTTTTTTTTTTTTTTTAAATGTAAAAATTCCTGTTTGTGCTAAAATAAACCTCTTTTCTGCTAGCATTCTTTTAAGTTCTAACACTGACGAACATACAAAAGAATTTAGTTTAATTTTCTAGAAACTTAATCAGTTGTCTTTCTTGTTTAGCTTCAGCTGTGTCTTAGGATGACGCAATTTTTTATAGTTTTTATTTTTAAAAAAATTTCTGGCCTTTAAACTAATTTAGAATATTTTGACCGGTAACATGTTTTCTTTACCATACTTCCTGTTTCATAGAGAAGTTTTTCAATTTTGAACAATTATATTGCAAGCTTTCTGACATCAGCTGTTTTTTCTCCTTATTTGGTACTCATTTTTATGAAAAAAAGGAGTAAATATTCGCACAAGCAATTTGTGAAGCAAACATAATTAATTAGCTGAGTATGTTATTAATTGTAGCTATGATAGCAAAAAAATTTCCATATGAGATTGAAACTGTTTAAGTGCATTTTTCCCCTTTTCAGTTTTAAGTGTTTTTGATGTTTTGACAAATATTGTTATATTAATTTATCACCATTACCGAAAATATCTCTCATTTTTTAGTGTTTCATTCTTCTTGATACTGTTTGAATTAATTTTGATTAATATTACGAACAAGTTGTAAGCTAAGTAACGTAAATTGGCTTTAAAATAGTTATACGTCATGTATGGATACCTTTTTTCCATATTGTATACACAAGCTAGTTTCTCATAAAATTTCTCTTTTCTTGTAGATAGATAATTTTTGTAGACTTTGTCATATTGGTTTGAGTAAGCAAATCAAGACATCTTGTAGGATTGATCAATTTGTTTTAAAAAAAAAATTAATTCTACTTGCCAGAAGAAATGACTTATTTCTATCAGGAATTATCATAATAAACTTGGTTGCAGTTTGCTTCAATGCCTCTAATTATAAAATTACGTGAATTAAATTTAACTTTTAATGTATTTTCTTGCCTAAAATTCATAGTTGCTTGAAAGACTGTACTGTATTTTGATTCCTAAGAAATGTTTTTTATCCCTTGCCATTCAGTCTTCAGGCAAGGAAAGTCTTAAAAACTGCTGTAAGCACTTTAACAAAGAAGTTTATTTCATTTTTCTGTTTTCTTCAGTTGTAAAAGACCCAAAATTATTTACTCGTGTTCTTTCGGGATTTTTTCTCCCCTTCATGCTTTAGCATTGTTTGCTTTTGAGTCAGTGATTGCTTCTGCTTCCGATAGTGAATGAACTGAATAATCCGTTATGATTCTGAAGAAGAAGTGGCCCTAAATATGGTGAAATATTTTTACCCAGGCAATTTTTTAAATGTTTCTAATTATTGCAAATAAAAAAATATTTGTAAAATTGCTATCAGAATTAAAAGAGAAAATATTCTAAATGGCAGGCTTATTATCCCCTTGTTTTCATGTAATGATTATTTGAGATCAAGAAAATCATTCATTTGTTGTCAAGTATTGAATATTTTTCTCATAAAATGAAAACCTTTATTTTTCAGGCTTATAGCAGTGTTGCTAAGTATCCTCTGAATTTACACGAGCATAGGGAGTTAGCATCTTTAATGAATACCATAGTTTTTCATACAAAAGTTGTTGATTTTCTAGATGAATTACTCATTGAAACTTCAGATTTATCAATATTTTGGTAAGTATGTTCATATTTTCTTGTTATGGGCAAACATTTTTATTTTATGACAGCTGTAGTCATTGGATTTTGACTGAGTTTCCTGTACTTTTTTACATGACTGTAATAAAAGAATATGTTAAGTTCATTACAATTAAGGGCTACAAGAATGATTCTGGTAGCTAGGAAAAGCCCCCTTTTCTCAATTAAAAATTTTTAGTTCTGAAGTATTAGAAATTTGGACATCATAATTCATTGTAATGTTAAATTTTATGTAGTAATTTATAAAAATATACATTTCCCTCATAAGAAATGGCAAAATAGGTAAAGTTTCCTAGAATTCTTTAAATGTATAGTGAATGTATGTATACATTATTTTCAGAATATAATTTTTGTGTTATCTGTTTGTTGAATTTAACAGAGACTTTATTTTGGCACTACCTTATTATTATAGCCTCCAACATTTAAACACTGCCAGAGACAATCCTGCTCAGAGCTGTTCATATACTTTCATTAAACAGCCTAAGCATGGTTACTTTGGCTCTGTTCAGGCGGTGGCATAAATGTCACAGAGGCGCAGTCATAAGGCATAAAATGCATCTGCGAGACAGGCTCAAAGTCATAGCCAATTAGAGAAGCTAAATTAGTGCATGTGCGGATGTGTCTGTAGATTCCCTGCTCAATAGATTTCGTTCGTTCTCTCTGATTGAATGACTCTTATACCAAGTCGGCAGATCCCTAAACCAGTTTTTGTGATGTAGCAAGGGCTGGTTAGCTGGCAAACAAAGTTTAGCTTAAACAAGTTATGGCATTTATACCACCATCTGAATGCAGCCTTATAGTTCGTCCATCACAAGTGGTGTTGCTTTGGTGAGTCTGTTGACTGAAGCATTTTGGTGTCATTTAAATAGTGGGGCCATTATAATAAGGAAGTGCTTGCATTTCTATAAGTCACCTGTTTGTTTAGACATGGAGTTTCTTCTTTAATAATGCATCGGAATTTCCATCCATATTTTATTCATTTATTGGTAAAAATGTGTGTTTTCATTTATCTGTCACATTATTGAACATACTCTTAAATGATTATGTACTAAAAGAGCAAAGTAATAATGTTCGCTATTCTTTTGACTTGCTATATATCATTCTGATCATTGTGGAAAATAGTTTATTGTCTCATCTCTTTTTTAGTTCTCAGTTTTACGACTCTAAAATATTCTCATTACTTTGTGAATTTACTACTATAAAGCAATGGAATAATAAGTAATAAAATTATGCTTCAACCTTTGGAGGGCGCTTTATGTAATGTATGGGAAATGTACACTGGGGTGCAAAACTTAAGCAACAATGTAAATTTTAATTAGATAGCCATGAAATTGCAGAAAAGAGGTTCTTACGATCAGTACAATGAAGACACAATTCAGTAAAAAGCTCATGCATATGCAAATTTCAGGAACGAAACGTGATAGGCGACGTGAGCGTACACAACACGTGTACAGTCGGCACGCTTAGCACAAGACTACAATAAAAGGAAGGATGGAGACGCAATTAAAGACATTCACCGCAAGTAAATTCTTTTGTGAAATATAGCTAGAAGAAATACCTGGATGACTGCACACGTGTAAGAATCATCGAAAAGCTGGAGGAGAGACGTAATGTGACCGATGTAGCTGAAGAGTTCGGAATCGACAAAAGTGTCATTTCACACACTTGGAAAGCTTTCCAAACCATAGGTACAGCTGTTAGAAAGGTTGTTAGTGGCCGTCCCCACAAAAAACAACTGCATTGGATCACCGATATATCGTCCTGCAGGTGAAAAGTTCCCAAAGCCAGTCAGCAAGTGGCATAGCTCAGCTATACAGCAACAAGTGTCACAGTTTACTGCGTTTAGACGCCTTCGCAAAGCTGCCTTATTTGCTCACCATCCTAAATGCTGCATCCCTTTAAAAGTTGGCCATCGGCGGCACCATTTAGAGTGGTGCAAGGAGCACAAAAACTGGATATCTCATTAATAGATTCTTGTCCTCTTTATGGATGAGAGTCATTTTAGTGCCACAAGCGATTCTCAACACCAGTGATTTTGGAGAAATGTCGGGACAGGGTTTCATCCCAGTAACATCACTGAAAGAGACCATTGCAGTGGTCCTGGAGTTCTAGCCTGGGGAAGCATTATGCTGAATGGGCAGACAGAGCTCCACTTTTTTGACAGAGGTTCTGTAACCGGAGAACGCTACTGTCAGGAGGTGATCCTTCCCCATGTGCATCTCTCTTCCGAGGTGTCATTGAAGCTGACTTCGTTTTCATAGTTTACAGCACACCCAAACCAGTCTCCTGTTCAAAACTCATGGGAAGAAAAGATATCACTCGAATAGATTATCCAGCGTACTCCCTCGATTTAAATCCCATATAACATGTGTTGCATGCTTTGACGAGATGCCTTACGGCACAATTACATCCTCTGGGGACACCCAACGACTGAAACAGATACTGATTGTGGAATGGGCACTCTTACCTCGAGATCTGTTGGACAATCTTGTGCTGAGTATGGAGGAACAGTGCAAAGCAACCATTGCAGTAAAGAACACCCATTGCTTACATTTTGCACACCGGTGTGTATTTCATTAGAAGCTCTTTTGACTTTATATGTTGATTTAATGAGGCAATATATATATATTTTAGTTATTCGACATTAGTCTTTATATACAAGGTATTTTAGTATGTACCTAGAAAGTATGTTATCCTGTATCATAAATGTGGGAATTAACCTGGATAGTGAACCATAGGAACATTTGCAAACTTCTTTCTATGAGATACAAGCAGTTTTGCAAAAGTTTGTCACAGAATAGTGAATCAATAAAGATGCTTCATATTCTACTGTGTTAAATGTTCTAAAGTAACTGAGGAGGAACTACAAAGGCCCTTAATATACCGTGGTTGAAATTTTCTTGCATTTTTTACTTAGTGCTGAAACTGTGTAAGGATATTATGTAGCATCTGATATTTATTCTAAATTCATCAGCCTTCAGTAAAATTTTCGTAATTCTTAGCCAAAACATAATGACCCCTACTCAATAATGTGATGTGCAACCTGCCTGCAAAACAGCTGCACCTCACCTTGTAATGGATGCCACAAGTTCTTGTTAGATGACTGGAGACAGGTTGTAACAGATGTCTAAGCAGCAGTCACGCAAAGTCAAGATATTTAACAATGTTGTGTTTGAGCTGTGAGCTGCCGCTCCATGATATCATAAATGTGCTGTATTGGGGTAAGATCCGGTGAATTAGGTGGCCAGCACATTAATTGAAATTCATCCTTATGCTCCTCGAACCACTCCAATGCAGTTCGAGCCTTGTGACATGGGTTGTTGTCCTGCTAGAAGATTCAATTTTGAGTTGGGAAGACAGACGGTATGTAACTGTGCAACTGATCTGTAGTTATGTTCGGGTAGTCCACAGCTTTCATGGTATGTTCTAGCACACCACCACCACCAGCCTGTGTATGGCCTGCTGTATAGGGGTGAGCAACTGTTTGCCTGGGAAACGACGTACCCTGACATGACCGTGGATGTGATGAATGAGAAATGATTCATCTGACCAGGCAGTTGGCTTTCACTTAGCCATGGTCCAGTCTCGATGTTTCCAGGCCCTCCGTAGGCGCTGTTGACAGTGAGGCTTGGTCAACATAGGCACACAAGTGGGACATCTGCAGCTCAGTCTCATGTCCAACAGTGTCTGCTGAACTATATGTTTTGAAAAACTTGTCCTTGAACCTGCAATTATATTGTGCTGTCAGCTGAACCACTGTTTGGCATCGATTTTTCTGTACCAAATGAGACAGTCTGCAGCGTCCTTTTTCTTTGATGACACATGAGCATCCAACACCTTAGTGTCTGCTGCTGGTTTCACCATCAATTTATCCACTGTTCCTAAATACCAACAACTGCAGATTATGAACAACTTACTGGTCATGCCACTTTGGAGATACTCGGTCGGAGTCTTACGGCCATTACAATCTTCCCTCTATCAAGTTCGCTTAGCTCAGCAGCCTTTTCCATTACTCACAAAAGTATGTGCAACAATGATTCTTTACCTTCTCCAACAGCAGTTAAATGCCATTCCCATTTAATCGCGGGCCCTCCTCGTCATACAGATGATTTCGTTGAAAGCTGTATTGATGGTTATAATGTTTCGGCTCATATTGGATTAATTATTCAGTCATCATTTTTAATACAAATAATGCTTTCTTGATATTTTTTTTGTCTGTCCGAAAGGTTACGTATTTGGAACTTTGAATAGTGTAAAAAGGGGAGAAAGCAAATAAAAATTTACTTGCTTCAAAAATTCTGTACTATTTTTGCATTGTTTGCAATAGCAGTCTGCACACTTGTAATGAATTTATTGGTTTTATTTCCTTTTTAATTCAGAATGATATACATATTAAATAATTTTTACCGGTTTTAAGCTGCTAAGTAGTGAAATAAAGAAGAGAACACTTCCAGTGGAAACATAAAATTTTTATATGTATTTACCTATGTATGTGTATATTTTTATCCTTCATTTTTTATGCAGTAATTAAATGCTCTGCTAAATGTATTTTAAAGAGCCATGGTTAGTTGCCTGTTATTAAATGTTTTTCTAATTTCTCTCAAGAGATTCAAGTCTCAATAAACAGAAAATCTGAAATTAAATCATTTGTGTATCAATCTTGTTCGTATTTTGGGGACAGAATGCACCAGTACTCCTTCCTTTCTTTGAATTTTGAACAAACTTGTAGGATGTTTGTTATGTGGGGTGGTATATGCTGTGGGAACTGGGCACATTTTTGTTGACAGAGACATGACGGTTTATTTTCTGCGGTTTCCTTGGGTATGATATTCACTGTATGCTACAGTTAGTAAAATTTATTTTGTGACATCTAATAAAAAATTATGAAATCAACTTCTGGATTTTTCTAATATTGTTGTGTAATCTGTGCACAGTACTGTATTGTGTAAGTAAAAATGTGGCTTGCATTAATTGTTGTCTCATTGTATGAAAGCATGCAAGAACCTATCTTGACAATCAATTTCTCCATTGCGTGCAATATAATTAGTGACACATTCTGGTTTGCTTTCTTCATGTGTGTCAGAAATGCTACTTTGTCACTTTCCTTTTTCAATCAGTAGTAGTTACTTTTACGTTAATATTTTTATGTATTTCTTATTTTTCCATTTTATTTGATTAGAAAATTGTGTTGCAACTAATTATTTACTATATGTTTTCTTGGTTGTTTGTTTCATTGTGCCAACAGTGTTTGTTTTCTTTTCAAGTAATTTTGAAAGTAATGTTGGTGATGTTTTTCATTTATCTAAATTATGTTGTGTATCCTTTGTTGAAAATAGGTGTTGTAATTCTAAAACAACATTTTTAGATATATTGCTAGTTGAACTTATTAATTTATTTTTTCCCATATGAAGTTTGAAGGCAGTAGAGTAATTACTGCTGGATTCACACAATTTATAAATATTCATGCAGAATCATGCTGTTTTGAAAGACTGAATTACTTGTAAGACAAACAGTCATGCGATTTCATAAGGGATTCATCTTATGATATGTCATTTTCAACAATGTATGTTAATGCTATAAAGTTGAACATATTTTTCAGAAATTTAACTTTCAGGTTATTTAATCTCCCATCAATAAAATTCCGAGTTCCAGACTCAAGGACCCCATTTTAGATGCGAATTCCTGGGGTATTTATAGGATTCCTTGCCAGTGTGGTTTAATTTACATTGGCCAAACTAAGAGAGCCTTAAAATTTTGCGTCAAGGAACATGAGGCATATGTTAGAAAAAAAAGGAAACACAGAAGTCTTCTGTTGCTCCACATTGTTGGTCCGAAAACCACACTTTCAATTTTTCTGCTGCTGCCAAAATTATTCAAAAAACAAAAAACATCTTCCATTGGAGAACTGGATTTTCTAGAGGCATTTCACATTCAAAAAATCTTTCTGTCTAGTTAACGATCCTAATTCCAATCCATCTTTGCTTTGGCCTTTAAAAAAATTGTGTTTTAGTTCTGGTTTCACCAACAGATGGCGCCACTTGCTTATTCTTGTCCAGGCTTTCTTATCTTATCTAATCATTATTTCCTATCTTGTTCATTTGCAGTTTTGCACCTGAAGATGGTGGTTCGGTAAAACCATCGAAACTAGTTCTGTGAAAATTTGAAAATTAACGCTGATTTGTGTTGTTTGATTTCTGAATTAGTACTTATTCGGTGTGTTATTGTGTCTTAATGTATATATGTATCGAAAAAATATTCAAATACGTGAGCAATACTTCTCATCTCAAAGATCCAATTTTCTTTATTCTATTAATCACTGTTAAAGAAATATAAAAATCGAGTAATAAGTGCAGTTTTCTCTTTTAGCATTGTTCCTTCATAAATTTGAACGTATTATCATTTTTGGCAGTGATCAGTATTCGAATATTTTAGGTCTTTTTTTTGCTTGAGATAGTAGTACTCATAAGGAAAACTAAATTATAAGTTCATTTGTAGTTGTATCTTGCCATTCATTGTCAGATTTTTTTTTTCTTTGCATAATTTTCATCATGTAGCATTCTTCATGTCTATTGTTTCAACAACTAGCAATCGCAATAATCTACTATGTTAAATAAATCCATTACAATGGAAGTACCATACTTAGTACATACTTAGTACATAATCCATACTTAGTACTACTATGTTAAATAAATCCATTACAATGGAAACAGCTTGTCATTTTTCTAGAATTAAAGGTCTTTGCTTGGTGTTCTTCTTTCTTGGTGGAAAACTATTTGGATCATTATTTCAGGGAACCCAGTTCCAGTGAATTAACTTCACTTGTTGAAGTTTCTGTTGTTTTTTTTCTATTATCACCCAAATCATTGAAAGAAAAACATCTAATACATTTTTTCCATCTTTAAATCTGATATTTTGAAAAGAAATCTTTTCTGACCATACTTAATTACAAATGAAATTATTTTGTATATAGAATAATTAATATTAAAATTCAATCAAAATGCGTAGTGTTAACTAGCCTGATAAAACTCTATGCTCACAAAATGATTACAATGAAAGCTTGAGTCCAACTTATTGCTTTGCACTGTGGCCACAAAAATGCCCCACTTGTTTGACTCATTATTCTGCATAAATGAGCTAATATTACATTAAAAAATGGTGTAATTTAAATTTACCCTTTTGTGTGTAAGATAATACGTATAACCGGAGATTTTATTTTAGTTTTTACAGTACTGTCTTTGAAAGCCAGTTTCATATGTGTCTTGAATTTCCTGCTCAAACAAGATATATCATAGCTTTCCCCCTTCTTTGTGGACATTTTATGAACTGCACTCATGAACTTTGTCCTGAAGAGGTGGGTAGTAAAATATATTTTCTCTAATATTATGTGATTAAATTCGTTTGAAAGCGAATATATGACTAATTTTTTAATGTAAATTTAGGAGAAAATTTTTTTCTTTCTTCTAGCGAATCCATATTGGTGATCGAAGTTTGACCATGGTTAATGCATTTTTAGATGAAATGTCAAAAGAAGCTAAGGATATAATTACTACTATATGTGATGAGCAGTGCATGCTGAGTGACAAGGTTTGCTTTTTTTTTTTTTTTTATGCTTTAAAAGTAAAATATTGAAAGCCGTACTGTGCATTTGTGTGAATGATGAATCATTTTAATAGCTTCTTCCTAAGCACTGTGCACCACTTATTGCTCAAGTTGTGAATAAAAAACGGAGGGATAAGAAAAATAAAATTGTAGCAGAACCTGGGAAACCTGGAATGGAAAGTTACAGGAAAACAAGAGAGGAACTAACAACGTATGTTTTTCCGATTGTAAAATTCTTATTCTTGTGTACTTTTATTTTAACATCTTCATTTTTTTAATTTCCAAAGATTTATGTAATATTTGAAACCCTTTTGTTGTAAGTATTTCATGACAAATATCACTAATCATATTCTTAATCTGGTGGAAGTGGAAAAAAGTTGTCATATATTCGTCTTAGGGAAAAAAAGAAAAATTGTATTATAAGCAGTTGCATACTTGGTAAAATATAGGTTATGTTTTAAATAAGCTGTGTTTATGAATGAGTGTGAAAATAATGTGTGATCGCTGCAGTGCATATGCACATCTGCTCACAGCATGCTTTGCATGCATTTAGATGCTATTTCCAGTTTTATTGTCTTTCTGTATGCTAAGTATTAGAAGTTTATAATGTTTAAGAAAACTGAGTCATGCACCAACTGTGAGGTACGATCTGTAATTCAGTTCATGAGTACACGAAACTTGGCAGTAGTGGAAATTCACAGATGTGTGAAGTCGTGATAATGCTATGAGTGACAGTAAAGTGTGAGTGGATGAAAATGTTCAAGGACGGATAAGCTAATGTGCATGATGAGCCATGCACTGGCTGACCTCCGGTTTCTGAAGATTTTTTTTTTTTTTTTTTTTTTTTTGTTTTTTTTTTTTTTTTTTTTTTTTTTTTTTTTTTTGTGTGTGTGGTGTGTGTGTGTGTGTTACACACAAAAAACATTGAGATGACTGATGATTCACAATTTCAGAGTTATCAAGTGATTTTCGACAGGTTTCAAGGTCAATTTTGTACACCATTGTTTCGGAGAAAATTATCGAAAATCATGTTGTTGGTGGTCTCCAAGACTGCATTCTGATGATCACAAAACAAAAGGATTGGACTGTACTTTATCATTTTTGACTTGGTACAGTCAAGAAAGAAAACCAATTTTGGGACCACATCATTACAGATAAGACTTGGATGTCTCATGGGGCTTCTGAGTCCAAGCAACAGTGAGTGGAATGGTGACACTAATCATCACCTGCCAAAGTGAAAGCCAATCAATTTCAGCACGAAAGATCATGGCAACTGTCTTTTGGGACAGGAAAGTGATTTTATTCTTGGATTTTATGATGAGAGGCACAACAATCTGATGCACGTTGTATGAACTTGAGGAAACTGTCATAACCTGCCATCTTCGTGGGTGATGTTGCTCTATGATAATGCAAGGCTGCATATTTCTGTACAAACACTATGTCTAATCAGGTCTTTTGGATAGGATCGTCCACCTTGTAGTTCAGACCTCCACCCAGTGATTTTCACTTATTTCAATACTTCAATACAGAGTTCCTTGGTAAAGATTCAGTCACGACGAAGTGAAAACTGCAGTCATGGATTTGGCTTCTTCACTGGCAGCAGATTTCTTTGACATCAGAGTTTAAAAACTTATTGAATGGTATGACAAATGTTTCAACAAAAATGAAAAGTATATGAAATAGAAGGAAAAAGTATATTTTAATAATATCTATGGCATTTTTCTTAAAACCAGCTTTTTTTAAAAAAATAACCCTCATATTTTAATGATGTTGGCAGCCATCAGTTGCCAAATAAATAAAATAATTGTTGCTTTAAGCAGAAATTGAGTTCTTAATAGATGGCCTTAGTTGTAATCTTTGTTTTTCCCATGTGCATTGTAAATGCAAACCAACTTCTTTGATGAAATTCTCTTTCTCTCTAGGATTTGTAATCCTTCCATCATTGCGATAATCAAGAGTTACTTATGTTTTTCAGCTGATATCTATATGAGAAATGTTTGAAATTCCGTACTAAAACCTTTTCTCTTCCTTTTTAGGATGGATAAATTACATATGGCTCTTACTGAGCTATGTTATGCCATTAACTACTCAAACACTGTAAATGTATGGGAACATACATTTGCACCTCGAGAATATTTAACACAGCATTTGGAGAGTAGATTTAACAAGTAAGTATCCATGCTTATTTCAAAGCATTCTTAAAGATCCATAGTGACATAGCAGAATATATTAAATTTATGGTTTGGTTGCATCATAAAGATATAATTACAAAAAGGGCCTCTATTTAGCACACACGTCACAATCTTAAATTTTGCAGTCTGTAGATGTGATATTTTGCTTCATGATATTGCATAGTATGGAGTGTGCAATACCTGTTATCTTTAGATGCCACTCATAATGACAACATATAGTCATCACAGGTGTGCAATGACGGCAACTACTACCTGAGGCAGCAACTGTCACAGGATTGGAGGAATGGTTGACCGGCCTGAACTGCATCTCAAAGAGTTCCAGATATGCTAAATAGTATTTTGTTCCCGAGATATGAGTGACCGACCATCTTCTGAATATTTTTAGTGTGCAGTAATTCATTTCCAAGCTTTGTGTACTCAAGTATTGCCTAAATTATAGCCAAAATCTCTGTTATAAACTGTTCGTCAGACTGTATAATCTAGTGTCTGCAGTGTATAATATCATAGCTGCGAACTCTCCCAATTTCAGCGGTAGACTCCTGGTGTTTCATCATATCTTCCAGTCTGCTGGTTTTTAATTTTTAGCCTTTACTAAGGAAAATGCTTCCAGCAATAAATTTAATTTATTGAATTAATGGAACTTAAATTAGGCCAGTTTTGTTCCCCCAATTCTAATTATTTTCAGAATAATGTTTCTTATCAAATATTATTTTATTTGAATTGCGCATTGTTTACATTATAGATTGTTTTCTCATTACATTTTATTGGTCTTTCTCTTATTGAATTGAATTTGATCTGATTTGTCTTAATCTACTATAGACATTTGTAGATTTTTATATGAAGATTCAAACAATGTTTAATCAGTTAATATTTATATTTATTTTTTTTTACTTCAGTATATGGAACATTACTATGTTTTATCCACACAAATACTATCACATTAATTAAATTTATTTTCATTGTATTTAAAAGTACTTTGAAGTTTAGATTATGTAATTAAATGCTAATATATTTTAAAACAAAATTGAATTACAAATACAGTCAAAAGTCGTTAATTCGGACACCCATAATCCGGAATGATCTATAATCCGGACCTCAAAAGCTACAAACTTTCTGCGCATGCATCGCGTTGACGCATGTGCGTAAGACCTTTACCGCTGCAAATTTGCGCGTGCGCAAAATACGTTTACGAATGCGCATTTAATGTATAACGGACGGGATAAGCTAAGCTAAATTATCTTAATTATCTATTTCAGTTAATGTTGCAGATTGCGTTGTTCCTTAATCTTCGAATTGGATCCGGATTATTATTTTTTGCAGACTCTTAGAGCAATTTTATAAAAGTAAGCTTAAACTTTCGATTATGTCAAATAGAATTTCCCGATATATATTTACTAATATGTAAAAAGGATATACAAAGCGAAAGTATCTTCGGAGTCATTAAACAAAAAGTGGAATTGCTGCAAAAAATGGATAAAGCATATCCTTTGTTTATCTAAACTTTAACGTTTGTTATCTTAACGCCGGGGCGGCGTGCAATGAATTGGAAGTTGATCTGTCAGCACTATCCTTAAGGGCAGTTTTTTTTTTATTTGGCTTATATTGCTTACTCAATGTAGTATTTCATCGCGTGTACTCCGTCTTTGTATGATTTAAATCAAATGCCTCGTCATTAAATTCGCTTCCGATAGCGAAAGAAAGTGACAGAGGTTATTGAAAACGAAAAAATTTGATGACAAATTAGTCAGTATTCTTGACACAGCAATTATAGGACTTGAACAGCGGAACTTTGTAACTGAACAAAAAATTATGTCTGTTTATAGAATTAAAGAGAATGTATTATCACATAAAAAACGAAGCAATCTATATTAAAGGAAATGATACGCTGTTAAGAATGAAAAGATGTCAATAGTGTATTGAATCGGAATTCTTCACACAGTGACCTAAGAAATGAAATTGTGTAGCTGAACAAGAAATTGTCTTTCAGTGAAACTGGAAAAAAATTAATATATGCACTCATATGCACATGTGAAGTAAAAAAAATAAAAAATGCTCAAGAAAAATTAAATAAAGCAAATACTTTTGAACATTACACTTAATTTTTATTTTTGTTAATTTTATTCCTGTAAGATCAAATGACTCCATTATTTCACGAACAGTCATTTTATAGCTTTATAGTTTCTACATATCTTGTATTAAATTTGTTGTAATAATGACGTAAAATCCGGAATCACCAAAGTGATTCCAAATCTTGGACTTTCTGTACGTATTCAAAAGCCGTATTTTATTATTTTTTGAGAAGATAATTTTCAGGTGCTCTCCTCAGTCAATGTGTTATCTAAATATGAACAGAAGGATTAAGTCTAAACTCTTGAGTTTAGGCTGAATTTTCTTCCTTGGAAAAGTTGCAAGTGTATTTTTTAGTCCAAAACTCAAGACGTTTAAATACATGAAATGAAAGGTGAAAGTCATGAATGAAATTAACTGTCTTATTTTTTTTTTTATTTTTCTTAAAAATATCAGTTTTTCCATACATATGTTTGAAAGTGTGGAAACATATCGAAAGCATTAATATACATTGGTATATCATGACAGTAATATTCCATATTATTTCATTAAGTTTGTTGCTTAAATCATTGTTAATAGATGATGATAGTGCCTCCTGGGAATTAAAAATTCATATACAGTCAAAAGTCGTAAATTCGGACACCCATTATCCGGACCTCAAAGCCACAAACTTTCTGCGCATGTGCTGCGTTGACACATGCGCGTAAGACCTTTACGGCTGCGAATATGCGTGTGAGCAAGCGCATAATCCGTTTACGCATGCTTGTTTAATGTATAACGGACGGTATAAGCTAAGCTAAATTTATCTAATTCAGTTAATGTTGCAGATTGCGTTGTTCCTTAATCTTTGAATTGGAACCGGCTAATTATTTTTTGCAGACTGTTAGAGCAATTTTATAAAAGTAAGTTTGAACTTTCGATTATGTCAAATAGAATTTCCAATATATATTTACTAATATGTAAAGGATCTACAATGTGAAAGTATGTTTCAAAGTCCATTAAACAAAAAGTGGAATTGCTGCAAAAAATGGATAAAGGCATATCCTTCGTTTCTCTAACCATTCCGAAATCTGTTTATCAATTTCACGCTACTCTGTGGCGGGGAAGGGGGGAACGACGCATTGCGCAATGAATTGGAAGTTGATCTAATCAAATTCCTCGTCATTATAATTCGCTTCCGATAGTGAAGAAAGTGACACAGAGGTTATTGAAAACGAAAAAATTTCGATTGACAAATTAGTGGGTATTCTCGACATAGCAAATATAGGACTTGAACAGCGGAACTTTGTAACTGAAGAAGAAATTATGTGTGTTTATAGAATTAAAGAGAAAGTTAAACAACTTACATTGAAAGAAATGTTTAATAAAGTAAACAAATAAATATTAAGCTTTTTTTTTTTTTTTTGTAAATTTTGATACCCTTTAGATCATAATTGTTCTTTATTTCGTAAATTACAGTTTCATATTTTTAATTTTATAATTTCTGCATGCCATTTTACCAGATTTAAACTGATGATCTATAATCTGGAAAAATCAATAATCCGGAATCGCCGAAGTCCCGACGAGTCCGGATTAACGACTTTTGACTGTAGTTTAGTAACATGAACCATGCATTATAAAGTGAATTAAAGTTAGTTTGGAGCTTCTACGAAATAGTGTCACCGCGCAGCCCGAATATCTTTTTGTTTTTTGTGGTTTTTAACATTTCAGGGTTGCCAACCATCCAATACTAAGACTGTTCTCATGAAATACAAGGAGCTTAGCTGTTTATTGTAAAGCCTTCACAAATTTTAAAAACCACAACTCCAAAAATGTCTTGTTCTTTTTAATGGCTTTTTTTTTTTTTTTTTTTTTTTTTTTTTTTTTTTTTTTTTTTCTTTTTCTCTTGTAAGGAACTGGTAATAAGATTTGAGTTTGTAAACTGAATATTTATTAAAGGTCTGCCAGAAAGGCCATCTTTGCCAAGCTGGCAGTATGTGGTTTTGAATTTGAAATGTACAGTATTTGCTTTGCCTTTTTGTTAAAACACTATATGAGTCATCACATGTCGAAGATTGTTAAGTTGCTGCCATGATAGTAAAATCACTATGTGGTGATGTTTTAATCTCCTGCTAATTTGCCTGAAATATTCTGTTTTCAGCTGTGCCATGGCTTTCAACCTAGCTGTTGTTGAGTAGATACATGGTAGAGGAGGCATCCAAGTCCATAGTTCCATAAGATTTAAGTGCATAACTCAAATTTGTAGCACTTAAATCTCCCATACTTTTTGAAATGCATATTTCACTTTGGGTTAACATTACTAAAGTTATTTTGTTTATCTAGGAATGCCATTACATTCTGTGTAGTTGCTTTGAATAAATCACCCAAACCTCTCCTTCAAAGCTTAATTTTAGACACTAGTGTTAATCAACATCTTTTAACTGATGAAATTGAGAGGAGCCTACCGTAGTATCTCTGTTTTACGAATTTGGAAAGTTGTTTTATTTTTTAGACATCTTCATAAGAGTATGAACACATTTCTGCAAATGAACTACTATCCAAGACCGAAACCTTAGAGTATGCTGTCATAGTTCCTGTACTCTTATGAAGATAAACTTCTAACTTGAAGCAAACCAGCTTCATAAAAATGCAGGCATTGCTTTGCAAGTAGAATTTTCATTTGCTTTGCCACTCAGAATAGCAAATTAAAACTGTACTTTGATACTGGTACAAAGATGTCCAATTCTTTCTGAAGATTACATTTTACAAGTTAGAAACTGATTTTCACGAGGAAGTAGGCACCTTTTAAGGTGTCAGTACTTTTATGTAGGGCATTGTTTATAAAACAGTAGTTTTCCAGTTTAGATTTCTCTGTTGCAGACTACTAATGATATGCACTGGTATTTCAACCTGGTTTCAAGTTCTGGGCTGGCTGCATAGCTATTTTAGTACCTTTTCCAATGTGTAATATAGATAAAAGCCAATTTTCTCTAGAAATTCCACCATAAAAGCATCCCCTTGTCGTAGACAGATAATCTTTTAATTAAGCTAATCTATTAATGATGTACAGTGAACTTAAATGATGAACTAGTGCAATGAAATTAATTTGCTAATTTATATTTATTTTTGGTAATGCATTCTAAAAATGACTTATATTAAAACTTTTATTTGCAGATCTCTAGTGAAAATGGTTATGTTTAATCCTGAAAATAATGAAATTGCCAAGCCTTCAGAATTATTGACAAGTGTTCGTTCATTTATGAGTGTCTTGCAAAGTATAGAAAACTATGGTAAAGTTGTCATAACTTCACTAATAAAATAATCAAAACTGAAATAGTTGCTTAAAACAGTCCCCCCCCCCGTGTGTGTGTGTGTGTGTATGTGTATGTGAGAGCAAGTGATTGAAAATTTTTTGTACTCTATATTTATATGTAAATGAGTAACAGTTTAAATATTCTTTTATATATTAAATGCTTATTAAAATGTATTTTTGAAATTTGTGGAGTGATACAAATTTTATCTCTTTAGTTCATTTAGATATTACAAGAGTGTTCAATAATGTCCTTCTTCAACAAACACAGCCTCAAGATAGTCATGGAGACAAAACTGTTACCTGTCTTTATACAAACTGGTAACTGAATTTAATTTTCATTTTAAATATTTTATATGTAAGAAAATAGATATGCATAAGATTTACAGTGTGTGGAGGTAGTACAGTGAAAAGGGGGGAAAGGATCGACTGAAAATACAAAAATAAAATTATATGTATATTGAGTTATCCAGAATTACTTTTTATTTTTTCACAAAGTAGCAAAAATGTAAGCAGATGAATTTAATGTTATTGGAAATCATTTTGTGACAATGTGTTGTGGCAACTGATAAGTCAGCATGCATTTTAAATACAGTACAAATTCCGAGATCCAGACGTCCAATATCCAGAATGATCTAAAATCCGGACCTCAAAACTATCACCAACTTTTTTTTTTAAAAAAAAAAAAAAGCTTTATGCATGCACATTTGATCCCCCCCAGGTAAAACGTGTAGAGTCCCAATTCTTAATTTCCCTTCAGTACTAAAGCACTAAATAAATACTTCGTTATTGAAGAAACAATAATTTAGCGTAAATCTGTGTGATCGATAATTTGGTTCCATAACTGCGATGCTTTGCATACATCTCAAACTGAAACATTCTTGATAGAAACATCGTTAACCCATCAACCGCCAAAACTACAAGGAACGATTCTTTTCTCATCATGTAATAATAACAAATATTAAATTAAATCATTTCTAGCATAAATTTACATTGAAAATTTAAAAAAAAATGCTCTTACCTGTGGAAAAAGTGAGTGTTGCGTTTGCGCAACATCAGTGGAATAAGACTACGGATGTTTAGTGACTAGGATTGTACTTGTGTGATGTTTCCTTTGGGTGGAGCACTGGATTACTTTTTAGCTGTAGCTACATTACATACTTTGCATCTATAAACAGTCTGGCTATGGCACTCTTTACAACAAAGTCTTTTTGTTATCTTCGGACTCTGCGATAAAATGTCTACCATCTCCATGCAATGGTTTTCAAATGCTGAATTTACTAGGCCTTCCTGTCTATTTACTAGGCCTTTGCTGATCTATTTCTGGCTAATTCTACACTCTCAATAAAAGTTTGCAAAAGGAATAATGCAATCTCGTGTCTGAAATCTAAAAGACACTTTTTATTTCCAGTAGTAGAAAGTCGTTATAATATTTATCAGTATTATCAATTTGACTATTGTCAGCTAAATGCAAATTCTGCTTCATATTCCTGTACTGCAAACGTGATATCGATTCCCGTACAATAGAAACAGAAATGTCCTTATCAAGTGACGAATACATTTCTTCTTGAGCTAAAGAGTGATATCCCGTAAGCAATAATATTCCAATAAATCTCCCCATATAGGCTTCAGATGCAATAAATTCTGGGAGATTCTTTTGCTGAGCGTATATATTTGTTTGTTCAACGAGAAGAGAGTAAATGTCTAAACCAAAAGGAAAATCAAAAATCTCTCCACTAGTTTTACCTTATATTTTGTCTTTTATAGTTTCTCTTCAGTCTCTTTCTTTATTTTCTTCCTGAGACATAACTGACGGTTCCTTTATTATCCATTTCAAGTTTTCAGCCTGTGTAAAAAAACGGTGGCACTGGGCAGTGAATCTTGCTTGTTTTTTGCAGCAGTTAAGGGGTTAAATATGCTAAAAAATATTGACAAAGAAAAATTTTAAAACAATTTCTGACCATATGCTAAAAATAAATTTTTTTAGTGATACTCATAGGCCAAAAGATTATATTTAATGCTATTTGAATAAGGAATAACTGATTTGTTTTTCATGTAAACCCAGAACCGGCAGCAGAGCTCGTATGGTCACACCAGGCGGCAGAATGTAGGGAAGACAAGATTTTTGGAATTTAAAGAAGAACCAAGCAACAAAATTAAAGGATAAAAATATTTTTAGAATTTAGGGAAAAGTGTTGGGATCCAAAATTTAGAAGTTAGGGAGGCACTAGTAGAATTTAGGACCCACAGAGACTGCTTCAGTCGGTATCAGCACCGGCACTCAATAAGCCATATGTATATGTGAGAATTTATTTATTCAGGATTCAAAAAGCCTTAAACATGTGCAAGAAATAGACATAAGTATAATTAACTAAACTAATACAATGAGGCTTGTCTCAGTGCACAAGAGAAGCAAGACAGAATTCAGCAAAATAACTTGTCTTTCGTCGCCAAATATCATGGTACATAGCCAATAATGTATAGCGTATTAAGCTAGGCTAAAATTATGCTTTACTGATTTCAAAGAATTCCAGCCAACATAGTAAATTGTGCTGTTCTTTGTGCATTTATGCCTTATGCTGAAAATGAAAATCATGACAAAGTGATAATTGAATGGATCAGACAGTGTTGCAGCGAGGGCGTGCCATTAACAGGTCAAGTGCTAATGGTGCAAGCTAAAATATTTCATTAAGAAATTACCTTAAAAACTGAGTGCACATATTCGACAGGTTAGTTAACCAAATTTAAAAATCTCCATGATGTAAAACAATTAAGAATTTCAGGTAAAAAAGCTTCAGCTGATAGTGAAGGAGCTGAATTATTTGCAGATGAATTCATTGAACTCATCAATAGTTAAATGTTATCTCAAGTAGAAACTTACAACACTGATAAAACTGGTCTTTTCTGTCAATATGTACTGCAAAATACCTTGGCAATTTCTATAGAAAAGCCTTTAATTCGTGTCAAAGGTTCCAAAACTAGACTAGCAATTTTTCCATGCGCAAATTCGGCAGGAACACACGAGTGTAAACTTTCCGTAATTGGAAAACTAAACGACCTTGAGCATTTAAAAAAGTAAAGACTTCTCCGTTATCTATCTTACAAATAAAAAAACACGGATGACAAGTGTTAATGAATGATTGGTTTGAAAATCATTTCATACATGAGGCTCAATAGATTTTGGTTGGTTTAGCTGATAATGCAAAAATTGTCCCGATTGTAGACAACTGTTCGACTCATACTTCACTTAAAGTTTTAGTGAAAGATAATATATCTGTATTATTCTTTCTTTCCAATTGTACATCAATCATTCAGCCTATTGATATCAAAATAAAGTGTGTGCTAAAATGGAAATGTATAGTAGAATTCTTAAAATCCATGTTAAATTTCTTGAATAATGGCAAGGCTATTCAAGAAATTTTGAAATATTTTAGCATAAAATCTGCTCTGTGGGAAGATGTGTCTCCAGGTACTTTAAAAAATGCTTGCCATAATTTATGGCCAGCTAGCATATTTTGTGGTGAGGTTGATGAAAATGATAGCCGCAAATGTGAAGGTTTTCAGATATCCCAAAACAAAGGTTAAATTTTCCAATAAATGGAATTTTTAAAGAAATGTGGAGAAACGGGTAATAAATGAAGATGATATACCAGAAGTTTTTCATTGCGATGACATTACCTCAATTATCAGTCAATTAACAGACTGCAAAATCTGTAGTATGGTTCTAGATCCAGAAAATACTGCTACCAATAGTGAAGAAAGTGACAGAGAAAGTATTAGAAATGAAAGAATTTTGATTGACAAGGTACTCTGAATTCTCGACACAGCAATTACAGGACTTGAACAATGGAGCTTTGTAACTGAATAAGAAATTATATGTGTCTATAGAAGTAAAAGAGATAACAGCGCACAAAAAAAAGCAACATAAACAACTTACATTTAAAGAAATGTTTGATAAAGTAAACAAATAAAGATTAAGCTTTTTTTCTTTTGTAAATTTTGTTACGCTTTAGATCATAAATGCTTCATTATTTCTTAAATCGCGATTTCATATTTTTAGTTTTATGATTTCTACATGCTATCTTACAAGCGTTAACCTGATTTAAACATCAGAAAAAATGCCAAGTCCCAACAAGTCCGGATCTCGGACTTTGTACTGCATTGGGTTATCCTATGAACAGTGTGGTATTTTTCTTACTTTTGCTATTTTTCAAACTTGAAAAGTTCTTTTAAAATTTAAAATATACTATCCTTCATCCCCTGCTAGTTCTTAATAATTATGGTTTAATTCTGTTCCAAAGGGTTTACAGAATGCCCTCATCCAACTCTACAGATCTTCCAAGAAGAGGTTGGTCTTCTAAATTGTAGTTTCCAGTGCATAATTTCTGTAATCTCTTACTTATTGCCGGATTATCATATACTGCATTAATTTTCCTTCTAATAATTATTTAATTGAACTCATAAAGTTAAATATGCTCCTTTCTCACTTCATTTAGCTCTGAAAAAAAAAGCTGTTAAAAGCACATTGCATTCTTCAAAATTTGCATTAAGAATAAGGAAAATGTAAAATTACTACTTGCTTTTATAGCATGTTGGTACAGGTATTTTATTCTGCCCCCCCCCTTTAGGATTTTAGTTTGATTCAAGAAAAAACATTTATATAATGATGCAATTATAATTATCAAAATAGTGAGATATTTGCATGAGTGTTTAATGATCAGTGATGGGATATTAAAATGAACATTTTCAACTATTTCCATAATAGTAAGAGTATTATTTACTATTTCCATAATAGTAAATGCATCCCAAAAAGATTTTTGCTGTGCAATGAGGATGCACTAACAGAACACACATGCCAGAATTGGTTTGCAAGATTCCATTCTAGTGATTTTTCAGTTCATAATGCCTCATCCTTTATTAGACCAATTGAGACTGGTGATGGCACTTTAAAAGCAATGATTGAAGCTGATCATCACAGAACTGTACATACCTTCTAGATAATAGTGTCAAATCCCACTTTGAAAATTTCTTTGTAGAAAAAGATCAGTAGTTCTGTAAAAGTAAACTTCTGATATTGCCTGGAAAATGGCAAATATTAAACAAAATTATATATTAATAAGTTATTTCTTTTTGTAATTTTTTATTACTTTAATGAAAAAGTTTCCGATCTTCATTTTGCTATTTATTTAATTTAAAACTAATGACATTTTAATTTGTTGATGATTCGGGTAAATAACCAGTTACATGAAATTATGCTTTTAATTTTCAGTTTGTTTTCGTTTTTTACATCCATAGGTATCTAGAGGCCTTACTTAGAAGAGTCAGTGCTGGTCACATAACATATTCCAGAAACCAAAAAGCATTTGTGACACTATCTGCAGAGGGGCAACTTCCATTCAGTGCTGAAGAATTTTCTGACATTAATGGTTGTGTATTATAAAAAATTCTCATCTGTCATTTTATTGATTAGAATAATGGCTATTTCAAACTTATTTTTTATAACTGTACGTGTTCTCTTAAAGTCTTTTTGTAATGAATTTCAAGGTGTGTTAATTTTAAAGCATCATTGTTTATGTACTTATTCTTCCGTTTGGCTTTTCCATCTTATTTTCTATTTAGTAAAATGTTTTTTTCACAACTGAATTGGTACTTTAAATCTATACAAGTAGTATAAAAAGTTACTTCAATCAAATGAATTTATTCTGAGCATCTTTTAATACATGTAAACTTTATTTTGACCTGCTGCTTAGTGCCAAGATATATTCATATAGTATTCATCAGTTTTTAAAAAATTACTGAAATATTTACTTAAGTAGCTGTCAGTATGAAAATATGACCAGAACCCTCTTCCATTTTACCCTGTATTAAGTTTCAAGGTAAAGTGTTATAAATCATTGTGTGAAAAACCTGTACAGAAGCCTAAAACTCCCATCCCAAAAGCAGACTTTCCACAGTTAATTCCAGTTGAAACTTCTGAAGAAAAGTCTGGTAGAAAACTCTACAGCGAGAAAGCATGACTAAGAAAAGCCTCAATCCCAAACGAATTCAATGAAGCAGTCTCCTGGCTCTGTGATAAAAAAGTTCAGAAATTTTTCAGAACCATTATTGAACACATTGACTGTATCAAAAAAGCAAAGACTACTTTAGAAAAACTAACTGCAGGATTTAAAGCAGCCATGTGTCTCATCCAAGTTGCAGAAGAAGATGAGACAGTTCTTTTAATATATATGCAGAATATTACAGGACTTTATTTTATTTTCAAAATTTAACTTAACTCACAGCTCACTGTTTCAAGCAGCATCTCGCGGGGTCTGTTCTTGGGGGTATATGTGTGCAGTACAGAGTCCAATATCCGGAATGATCTAAATTCCCGACTTCAGATCAACTACCAATCTTTTCTTTTGTATGTTTTACACATGTGCATTTGATCCCCCCATAACTAAGAGAAATGGACAATGTTTTAAGAATATCTGATCCATCGAAATCTCGTGGTCCTGATAATATTCATGGTACAGTACAAAGTCCAAGATCTGGAAGTCCCAATATCCAGAATGATCTAAAATCCAGACCTCAAAGCCACAAACATTTTTTTTTTTTTTTTTTCCATGCTTTACCCATGCACATTTGGTTTTTCATCTTATAAGGAAACATGGAGAGTCCTGACGATCATTTTAGCATAAATTTGTGTAGTCACTAATTTGGCTGCATGACATATATAGTAAAACGTTCTACAGAGGAACATCATTGATTTCACACCTGCTAATATTTTTTATCCCTGACACCAACCTGCAAATTATTATTAGCCATGGCATTTTGCATTGAAAACTTTAAATGCTTGTTTCACTTATGAAATTATTGTCACCAAACTTGTGTTATATTTAAAGAAATTAAATAAAGAAAAATCTGCATAAATGTATGTATGTTTCTCGCATTGTGATGCGAGAGTGCCTAGAGCCATTAAATTTTGAATGACGTAGGCCTAATTTGGAATTTAATTTATTATTGACTTCATATTTTGTAACACTTTAACCTTTTCGCGACGGCGCACCTTTGTTTAAAACGCTCGTGCGGGACGGAAGAGAATCGAAGGCAGTCACCGTACAGGACGGAGGTTTTGCATCGTTAAGCCTAATTTTATAACAAAAATCAGAAAAACAAAAGTTTCGCTTCTAGCATCGTAATTTTTGGTATCATTTTAGATTATTACTTGAGCTCTTATATATGTTAAAATTAGCCCTTAAAACATTTATTTCTTTATTTTACATGGAAATATACTTAAAAAATTGCTTATCTTCCATAATACTTTTCGGAAGAGCTATTCAAATTATTCTAAAGTTTTAATTGATAAAATCCATCAATAAAGTTTAAAATTATTAAAAAGAACACAATAAAGACTATTTACAGTAAGAAGTAACAAAATTTAAAATGAAAACGAGCGTGGTAAATTTCGAAGCCACAGAGAAGTATCACCTTGTAACTCTTAGAAAAAGTATCACTTTTAACTCCTTAGAAAATGAATCAGTACTCTCATTTGCGTTAGTAAATGGTTCACTAACCATACTAGGGTATTCTTCCTCTGATAAATAGCGCCTCCTTCCCGTCATAATAGACTGGAGGTGAGGCTTTCCTAAATAAAAAAAAGAAGGAACGGAAATATATCTGAAGGCAATGCAAAACGTAAAAAAACTCCGCACAGTAACCCTAAAAGACCGTACAAAATAGAGGAAAAAAATAGAATAAAAAAGGAATTTTATATAAATCAGATACGAGAATGTTTTCATTAGCACGCAGCGATTTAAAGAGCCGAGCTGCGTTTGTTTACATTACGATTTCCCCCCTCCCCAGCCACAGCTGACAAGCAAAATACCAAAAACAGCCAGAATATAAACAATCTGAAGGTCAGAATACTAAAACTACGTTCAGTTTAAATGTAATGGACATAGAGTGCCATCTAGTGGCTATTAAAAATTGTTTCAGCTTAAAATGCATATCTGCACTGCCCGTTCACTTGGCCAGTTCTCCAGGAGTGCACGGGTGAACCGCCCGGGCCTCACATGCGTCCGTACGAAATGCATATATGATTCGCCCGTCGCGAAGAGGTTAACAAATTTTTGATTAACATACTCAACGATTTCAAAGTGAGCAATGGCAACACTGTATGAAAAGAAAATTATCTCCAGTACAGCAAGACAAACCAGAAATTCTAAAGATAAGCTAATTTTAAAATTATTTTGTGATATTGATGTTGAATTTAATTTTATGGTTTAAGTGCAAAGAACATGATGTTTCATAAATGAAGGTAACATGCAAAAAGTTAAACTCCACTTTGAGCATAATGTAAAATCTGAAAGCTTTCAGATTTTTTAATATTAATTATTTTTATTTTTTTAGTTATGCTTTTTTCACTGCAGGTTTATCAACTCATGACAGCTTGAGTAATGACTCATGCAGCAAGTGTAAACAATTTGTTTTATATTAGTAATTGAATACCAAAGCTTATGGTAACTTTTATGTTGACATTATGCTTGGTAATGATTACGGATTTAAGTTAAACGTGCAAAGAAACGTTGACGAGGAAAAATTTAAGAAAAATTTCTTTCCATGTGCTAAAGGTAGACTTTGTTAATGATATTCATGGTCCAAAAGATTGCAGTTAGTGCTGTCTAAATTACAAGTAACTTGATTTTTTATTCATATAAACCCAGGACCATTGCCAGAGGTCGCTGCACTAGACTGCAGAATTTAATGAAGACAAAATTTTTGGAGTTTAGGAAAGCACTAAGCAACAAAATTAAGGGACGACCAAATTTTTAGAATTTATGGAAAGAACATGGACACAAAATTTAAGGGCATCAACAATTTAGAACTTAAGGAGGCTCTTGGTAGCAGAATATAGGACCTGCAGAAACTGCATCAGGTGGTAAGATATCTAGCGTCAGCCCTTGGTAAACTTTTAAGTGTATGTGGAAATTTATTTATTCAGGACTTGGATAAGCATGTGCAAGAAAGAGACGTAAGTATAATAAATAACTCAGCTAATGCAATGCAGGCATAATTGTCTTAGTGCACTATAGAAACAAGGCAAAATTTAGCAGAGCAGCTGATCTTTTATTGCCAATAATCATGATACATACCCAATAATCTATAGCGAATGCTATTAATCTAGGCTAAAATGATACTTTACTAATTCCAACCACTTTATGTTACTATAGCAGGTTGCATTGTGCCTTATCTTTCTGATTTGATCCAGCTTATTGTTTTTTTGCAGGCTGCTATCATACAGCAATTTTATGAAAATTAAAGTTTTAACTTTCAATTATGTCAAAACAAATTTCTAATTCTGGAGTTGCAACAGGATCTACAAAGTGAAAGCCTGTTTTGATGTCCATTAAACAAAAAGTGACATTGTGGCAAAATATATATATATATAGGTATATCGGGGTCAAAATTATGCGAGGAGTATGGCATTGGAAAGTCAACTGTATATGGCATAAACTAAAAAAATTATTCTTTATGCTGAAAGGGATGATTGAATGGGTCAGATAGCATCGCAGTGAGGATATATCATTGGCGGGTCCAATGCTAATGGCTCAAGCCAAAATATTTTATGAAGAAATGAACTTGGAAACTGAGTACACATATTTGACAGGTTCGTTAACCAAATTTAAAAATCACGGTGATTAAAAATTTAAGTGAACAGCTTTAGCTGATACTGTAGCTGCTGAACTATTTGCAGATGAATTCATTGAACTAATTAATAGTGAAAAGTTGTCTCCAGAACAAATTTCCAATGCTGATGAAACTTGTCTTTTGCAAAATATCTTGGCAACTTCTACGGAAAGACTCCAACTGATGTCAAGGATTCCAAAGCGAGACTTAATTTTAGCATGTGCAAATACTGCAGGAATGCACAAGTGTAAACTTTTTGTAATGGAAAAAATACACAACCTTAAGCATTTAAAGGAGTAAAGATTTTCCCCATTATATATCGTGCTAATAAAAGAGCTTGTATGACACAAGCATTAATGAATAGTTGGATTGAAAACCATTTCATACCCGAGGCTGGGCAATATTTGAATTCAGTTGGTTTACCTGGTGATGCAAAAGTTGTCCTGATTATAGACAACTGTTTGGCTCATACTTCATTTAAAGTTTGAATGAAAGATAATGTGTCCACATTATTCTTTCATCCAAATTGTACATCCATCATTTGGCCTGTGGATGTTGGAATAGTGCGCACACTGAAGTGCAAATATAAAGTAACATTTTTTAATCCTTGTTAAATTTTTTGAATAATGGCAAGACTAAGAATTTTTAAATATTTTAGCATAAAATCTGCTGTGTGGAGCATCGCAAGATTGTGAAAGGATGTGTCTCCAAATACTTTTTAAAATGCTCGACATGGTTTATGGCCAGCTACCATATTTCATGCTGAGGATGATGAAGATGATATCCACGAATTTGAATGTTTTAAGATATCTCAAAGGTAAAATTCTCCAGTTAATGGATTTTTGTAAAGAAATGTGGAGAAGCGGTCATAAACGAAGATGATATAACAGATGTTTTTCCATTGCAGTGGCAGTGTCCCAGTCATAATCAAAGGACCTCGAAATCTGTTGTATGGTTCTAGATCCAGAAAATATTGCTAGCAATAATGAAGCAAGTGACAGAGAGGTTATTATCGAAAATGAAAAAATTTCAATTGGCAAATTAGTCGGAATTCTCGACTCGGCAATTACTGGACTTCAGCAATGCATCTTTATAACTGAAGAAGAAAATATGTCTGTCTATAGAATTAAAGAGAAAGTATTAGCACAAAAACGTAGCAACATAAACAACTTACATTGAAAGAAATGTTTAATAATGTAAACAAATAAAGATTAAGCCCTTTTTTTTATATATCCTGTAGATATAAATGCTTCATTGTTTCATAAATCACAATATTTGTAATTTTATAGTTTCTAAATGCCATCTTACAAGATTTTACAGAACTACTGCTACTTAATTTTTTTTCCATCGAAAGTTAGGTATGATGCAATATCTCTTCCTCATATATTGTTATGCTTAGGATTCTCATACCTTAAAAGTTGTGGTGAAATACCTTTGTTATAAAAATGTTATAAACCTTTGATCTTTTTCAAAAGATGGGCCACCAGTGAGTTATGGTTAAAATTGTCTAATGTAAAATGTCGTATCATAAGCTTGAACATCTGGCAACAACATAATCTTGAAATGTTAGCAATTTTATATCAGCATCATATATTTTTTCATGTAATAATGTTCGAGTTTTGAGCTGAGTAAGCATAATTTTTGGGAACTTTTGTTTTACTTCTTTAATAAGAACTTTGATGTCGAAGACAAAGAACATAGCAGAAAGCATAAGTATACAAAGACGCAAAATTGGAAGCATTATTGGATGAAGATCCATGCCAAATGCAAGTAGAAATTGCATTTGCATTAGGAGTGACTCAACAAGCAATTTCACATCGTTTAAAATCATAGGAAATGATTCAGAAGCAAGGAAACTTCATTCCATATGAACCGAAGCCGAGAAACATGGAACACTGATGAAAAATGGATCCACTATGATAACGATGATTTTTTCAAAGAGTATAGTTCCAGATAAGTGAGTGTGGAAGAAGCAAGAGTTAAAAGACCACAGTCCTCCTTTGCTAATTTGTCCACCATTCCGTTTCCATAAAGATACATGAGAGGGGATCCACTGTAAATGGAACTCATTATGCTGAAAAATTAGCTGTATTTTTTTGTAGGTTAGAAATACTGATTTTTGTTGCCAACAAGAATCCAATTATCAAGATGTTGTAATGAGCTATGGCTATCAGATAAAACCCATAGATCACCAAAATTCTTTTCTGTTAATATAGCCTTGAGTTCCAAATTGATTGCTATCAGCTCACTCCTAAAGACAAAGCAGTGATTTGGATTGTGATGACAGAGTCACTTTTCTCGAGAGGGTCTCAATATAAATGCCATTTCCTGCGTGGTCAGCAATTTTACTGCCATCTGTTAAAGATCTTAATAGCATTTTTGGGAATGTTGCTTGTTACCTCCAAAGCCACCTGTCTTAGGTATTCAATGATAAAATCCTTCTTATTTACAGTAAAATTACAGCAATTGTGAACCCTGGATAATCCTTCTGATGGATTCAAACAGCACTGTAGCAAGTGGGGGTCAGTGTTTCAAGAAAGTAGCCTCTGAGACTTAACTTGGACAAAAGGGCTGTTTTTCTTTAGTCTTTGTTGATTTTTCCACTTATTTAGCGTACATTGAAGTTTTATTGTATTGGCCATAATTAGAGAATTTGTTCAAGTATTTAACAAGGACAGCTAGTCTTCTAGTTTGGGGAGGTTGCAAGCCTTATTTTCCATATTGCAGCTGTGCCTTAACAAGTAATGATAGAAGCTGCACTTATCTGAACTTTTTATAATTTCTTCAGGATGGAATCAGAGACACAACGATAAATTGGAAACTCAAACTCGAGTATGGGTTGAATGAGTGCCAAATATGCTGTGAGGGTAGTCGTATCCCAGTCCCACCAATGATATATTTAACAGTGTTTATTCTTTGTACTTTTTTAACAGTATGTTTTGACATGCTTGTGACACTTGAATTCAGGGTCAAGAATAAACCCCAGATATATAGGGTGCTTCTCGTAGATATGTTCCTGATTATCAAGCCTCAGCTTTGGCTGATATGTATTTATATAGTAAAAAAAGTAATAATTGATTTGGCTGGGTTAAAACAGAATTTCAGCTCTGTAGCAAAGTTGGACAAAAACTGTTAAAGAATTATTTCTCTTTAAGCATCAGACCTCCAGAGAACAATGTCATCAGCAAATATTTCAATTCTTATATCCAAAGAAAGCACTTTCTCCATTCCAGCCACATGCACGGCAAAAAATGTGGAGCTAAGAACTGATCCCTGAGGGACACCTTGGCTAAGATCATAGGAGCTTGAGATTTGTTAACTTTTACTGTAATATAATATATTTTCTCTGCAGCAAGTCTGCTATCCATTATAAAGTATTTCCTCGAAGGTCATAAAGTAATCTTACACTTAAGTAATGCACATTTATTGTTTATCATTAGCATAACTAACTTTTATGTAAAGGAACATTTATTTAATTTAGAAGTCAAACAACAAAAATCAGCATTATATTTCCAAATTTTCACAGCACTAGTTTTGATGGTTTTACCAAACCATCATCCTCAGCTGCAAAAGCGCAAATGAGCATTTATTTACTTGAGAATTATATATTTGACGATTTGTGAAAGAATAGGAGTTTAATACTTGTCTTCTGACTTCCTTGGATGGGGAAAAATATATTTCTGAGATAAAAATACTAGCTCTCTATCAGTAATTTACTAATGTCAAAATTTTGAAAATTATTTAATGAGACCAAATACTTATCACTGGTGATTTGGTATTCATATGGGATTTTGCATTATTTTGTGTAGGTACTTCTATGCAGTGATAAGATCTCTTCCTTTTTATGTTTATTACTTTGCATTGTTGTCTTAAAATTTAAAAATCTGTCTTATGTTTGTCCCTGACTAACAATTTTTGCTTTTAAAATGCTTTAATTTTTATAGCTATTAAAAAATTGTTCAGATAAATGGAAAAATTAATTATTTTACAAAACAGTATAATAAATGCCATTCAAGAATCATATTTCATGAATGCTTCTATAAGAACACTTAAATGCTACTGAAAGATTTTCTTTTCGTTCAGTAAATTGATTGTCTAATAATTATTTATCTATTTGACAGAAGTATGCTCAGATTTATTTCCTCTCACTAGAAACAGTAATTTTATTTTGGTTCTTTTATTTTTCATAATGACACCTAATTTCTGTTTTTATTTTACAAATCTTTCTGTAGAACTACGTGCCTTAGCTGAATTGATCGGACCATATGGAATGAAGTATTTAAATGAAAGTTTGATGTGGCATATAGCTAGTCAGGTTACAGAGTTGAAGGCAAGTTACTTCCTACTTTATTCATTTAATGCTTCCCATTTTAATGCTGCAAAATGATTAGCTTTAATTGTTTTTGGTTTAATAGTCCTCTTTTTTTTTAATTTATATATATATATATATTGAAACTTAGAAAATTTTTAATTAATCCGATTCTCTGGCTTGAGGAAACCTGTGAACTTGATTCCTCCCTCCCATTACCTTCTTTTTTATCCTCTATTGCTAAAAGCTTCTCGCAAATATTGTAAATGAAAAATATTTTCTGTAATTTTGAGCTATGCTTGATTATAAATAGCTTAGCATTTTATTTATAATGTCAGAATTTTGAAATTGGACAAAAATTTTTCTCTAAAAATTGAGAATAATTACCCAACTTATTTGAAAAGAAAAGTAGAATTGGCCCTTTAAATGAAAATAGTTACATAATATTCGTACATAATTTTAGGACAGGAAGGATCAAGCTGGAAACCCAAAAATGAAGGGACTAGTAACTTTTACATTTAAAATAATGTTTTAAAAATATATTATTTATATTCTCTTTATTCTTATTTTCTGTTTATGTAAAATTTAATTATACTTGGCATATATTTTATGTAAAAAGTCCAAAAGAAATTGTTTTCATGTGCTTTTTTTTAATCTGTTCTACAACTTCTGAGTTTACGGAAGTCTGTAAAATCTGGTAATGAATGTGTTCTCTTATTCGTGACACAGAATAATTATTTGAAAATTCTACTCTGTTGATTAAAAGTCTCATGTAATCAATTTTTATACAAATTTATTAAATCAGCAGTTTTAAGGAGGGAGCAAATTCAAACCTCTGATTTTCGAGAAAAGAAATTAAAAGCAGTTTTCTTTCATTTGTATTTTCTTTGCTGTGATGGAACTGGTTTAAGCCAGACTTTTTTCTCCCTTCATTTAGAGTACCGCGTACATCAGAGCTAAAATATGTATGTAATTATAAACAAAAATCCATTTTTGTTGCTTATTCTCTTTTTCAAATTAACAGTGCAGTTGGAAGGCTCTGGATGTTAAAAGTGAATGCTAAGACAAAGGGACATTACGGAAAAGCTTCTAAGTGTTGTGTAAGAACAGTTAGAAGAAAATTACAAAATTGGAATTTTCTATATAATGCTACATATTTATTTTCTTTTGGTACATAGTTTCTCAAAAAGTTTCTCTTATGTACAAAGTATGAAACTAAAGAACCAAAAGTAGATATTTCAATAAATATGTTTGGCATAAATGTTGCAAAAACTTCAAAGTTTGTTTAAAAGAATTTTATTGCTTCATATGTAATAAAATAAGCTGGTTGTTCTGTAATTTTTAAGTAAATTCTGTAGTTTTATGTAGGTTAATGTTTGTTTAAGCAATGTATCATCTGAATTTTAGAAATTAGTCGTCATTAATAAAGACATATTAATGGCATTGAGGTCAAATTATGACAAGCCTGAACAAATGAAAGAACTTTTCCGAAGATTGCAAAGTAAGTGCCGGTTTCTCTTTACGTCCTATATATCTGTTTTGTAATTAATTCAGAATCACTTTTCACATCTCGCTTGCTTTAATTTATTTGCATAGGAACAATATTAGTTTTGATGGGTATATTACCAATTCGTGACTAATTTCTTAAAATTTTAAATAATATGAGCATTCTGTAGTTCACCTTAATCCTCATATGATGCAATTTGTATCATTTTATGCAGTTAGACTGTTGTCTGTAGTTAAAACAAATTGAATACCAAGTAAGAGACAAATGATCTGTTCTCATTCACTGCTGAAAACATTTTATAAGTTTGCTATTAGTTGATTTTATATCATAGTAAACAAAATACATTTTTATCTCTGGTAAACAGTTTTATTAAATGAAGTGCGTAGAAATTTTGTTCTTTTTAATTCATTTAAATAGTCATTAAAAGGTAGATGCCGTAGGCTTTATCATAACACTAGGAAACAAAATTAATCTTGTTTCTGGATAAAACATTTTGTTATTGATTGAGTCTATGGATTTCAGAATTGTATCAAAATTTTGCTTTTGTGACCAAGGTGCAATACTACATGCAAATTTATGTGTATAAAGTAATGACTCTTATTTTTTTAAAGTTTGACAAAGATGCCTAATTTGAAACTGTTATGAAAGAATTAACACTTGCACGAATCACAAATTTTTTCTTGTAAACAGCATGCTGGGGTGGAAGCTAACCTTGCTGCTCTGAGTATGTTGTTTTTCATATTTTCTTTGAATTTATCATATATGTAAAGTGTTGCAATAGTTTAAATTTCAAAGTAAATTTGGTTTTATAATTAAGCCATTAATTAACAGATCAAGAAATCAATAATTAAGAAGGTTGTTCCAAATCCCTTTTTTGGTGCTTTTTGGTCTGGCTATTACTTGATAGACTTCACTAAAGTAACAAATTTGATCTCAGCTTTCTTTTCAATCCTAGCAAGCTTCTTAGAGAATTCTGACTTCTTGGTCAACTCCATGTGATGTTTGATTGCAGACTTCTACTTTAATATTTGCTTCAGATATTCAAAAAAGCAGCCAAAGCTGTATCTAGGGCATCATGAAGCCCAATCTGTTATGCAGCGGTGTGGCATCAGTGCTTTCTGGGAATCTGTCTAAGGTCCCAATTAAAATTTAAATTATCTGCAGAGAACTGAGTCTGCTGTTGTCAGTCCCTTCTGTGGTATTTTTTCATTGATGTCCGTGCTTACTCGAAGCAGAAGTAACAACAAATTCTGCTGAGTAACTTTAGAGACTATTCAAGAGTGCTACCAGTCTGAAGTCTTTATGTGGCATATAATGTATACATTGCACTTTTAAACATATGGTAATTAAAGAAAAGAATAGGCCCTGTGATCAACTTCGCGTCTTATATGTATCCGTGGAGTGTTTCTCTTCATAAATTAACTGTAGATATAGCAGAATAAGTCTCCTGAATATTTTCTGTCTTGAGATGATATCCTCACAAAAAGTTGCATTAACATTTTCAGTGCACATCAAAGTTATTGTTTTGAATGTTTTTATAAAACTTCCAAAACAACTACTATCTACAGAAATATTTTTAAAAAGAAAATTAAATAATGCAGGGGATCATAAAGCTGTGAACTAAAAGTTGGTCATTGTCAGGCAAAACATTTATGGTAGTGTGAATAACACAATAAGTTTACAAATGTGGTAGATCATTTACTAACATAATGCTCAGGACAAAGAAACACACAGAAAGTAGAAGTAAATTTGTCATTTCAAGTTTTAATGTTTTCAATATGTATTTCACTGTTTGCTCCAGCTTTCTCAGTGTTCTCAGATTAGCTATATTCAGTATAGATGTCTGAAATGAAAGTTGTATATATTTTATTGCAGTAATTAAAATGTGCACAAACAATGCTTTCATGTCTATCTACATATATTTCAAGCATTCATAATGTGCCAGATATTTTCTTAATTTTTGAGATCAACGAATTGCTAAGTGACTGAAGCTGCAAAAACTGGTAGTTTGAATGAATGAGTTTGTTGCATTAGGTCATTATGCGGGGAGATTTTCTTCGGGAAATGCTTCTTAAGGCATCATTCCTCTTATGCAAGTAATCTGTGTATATCCCTTGTTAAATAACCCATGCATTTCAAACTTGTGGGATTTCTACTATTCGAAGGTCGCCTGTGCATTGCATGCAAAAAACAATTAAGTCAGTAAGGATGAAGGTAGACAGGCCTTTGGAAATTGCTTCAACAAGAAGCTAATGAAACGTATTAAAAATGGGGGGGAAATTTGCATGTAAATCTATAATAATCTTTCTGATACAATTTTTTTTTTTTTAATAATTTTGTGTCTAAAATTTTGCTCCCGTTTTATTTTTCATCAATTTTTTAGCAAACATTTGAGCCATTATTTTTTGTTCCCCTTCATATTTAGCTTTTATTATGTTTTATTTAAAATTTTTGCTTTGTTGAATTGCAACTAAATATAATTTCGTAAATTTTTCGTGGCATTTTAAACTGGACCTAACAAAATTTTTAATTATTCTTGGGCAGTTATGAAATACTGATGATCTGTTGCTGCTTAAAGTTGGGCAGTATTCAGGTATTTTCAGAACTTTGCTTCACATTTTTTTAATGTTAAAATATTCAATTTTATGTATTTTGGAATCAAGGAATTCTAAGCTACCTACTCCAAAGCAACTCATTTAGTAGTTTGTTCAACTGCCAACATCATCTTTTTTTAGTGGAATGGAAATTCCTTATTTGAATCTTCGAGCACTCTGCTAACAATTTTTATATGCTGTGTGAGCTTTTCTGAACACTGATTTTTAAACTTTTTGGTGTGCTGTAACTTTCAGTAAGTTCAGTAACCTTCAGTAAGATACTTTCAGCATTTTGGCCAGCTTTCTCAAAACAGTTCTTACTTATAAAGATAAGACTTGTTAAAACGTTTCCAGTTGTAAAATCTCATTTTGAAGCTTTTTTCTTAGATTATAATGACTTCTTCACTAAATGTTTCTGTCAGTGTTTGTTGATGCATAGTCCGTGAACTTCAACATTATTTCCCTCAACCCCCATGTTTAGATGCAACAAAGTTATGCCAAATGCTTTTAATTCTCTAAATTAGAATATTTATTTTCTGAATCAATATTCCATTTTTGTAATGATGTAAATGTAGCAACAATTTAAAAATATTCTGCAATCATTAACATCATAATTTCTGAAGATTAACATTAATCTTCAGAAAGTATCTTACTGAAGTGCTTCCTCTTCTTTCTGTAGTGTCTAAATACTTTTTTGAGTTTATATTTTGCTTTGTTTAAGAATAGAATAAAATAATTATGCAAGTGTTATGTAAATGTACGATTTTGTACCATAATTATATCGTATAGAACATTATTATTCATCATTAAATGCACATATTGCGTTAGTGTTTATTTTTCTTGTGTGGTGCCCAAGCACTTTTGGTGTGTAGCTCTACATTTTTTTTTTATATGATTAGTCTTCATTGCTCTTTTGAAGTATTCTCAGATATTGAATTTTTATAATCATTGATAAACTTTGTAGTGTAATTTTAAAATAGAACATAAGAATTTTCAGTGTAAATATATGTAGTGAATATGGTCATATTTGCACATAAATGATAAATAATGAGTTCAAATTTCTATAAATTCTACTGTGTGTTAATTCATTGTCTAGAAATATACCTATTTAATGTTAAACAAAAAAATGTAAGTGATTTAACTATGCTGTTCCTGAGAGGTTTTTTCCCCCTAAATATTTATGAACTTATGGTGTTGATGATATTTTTTTTTTTTTTTTAATGTAAAAAGTTAAGTATGCTCTTCAGTGCCTAATTGTTTTGTTCTTTATTTATTTGCTTCCTCATAGGACCAAAGATGGCTCAAAGTAAGAGCTTTCATTGTTTCTTTTTGTCCATCACTAGTTCACAGCACTTATAATTTTAGACATGATGCTACTTAAGAATTTTAACAATTTTCTGTACTATGTTTTCAACAACAAAATTGTAAATGTACTGCACTGTTCCTGCACGTATTGGTGTGTTTGTGTATAAATTTTGAATTGAGCATATGCTGTTTCAAAACTTATATAAATACAAAAATTGCCACTTCCTTCTGTTTTAATGCAAAGAATAAACCTTGTTTTATGCAGGAAAACCTTACTTAACATATCCATTAATCAGTTAACAGGATTCCATTTTCATTTCTAGTCTGCAGTGCTAAATTTGCTTTGAACCAGTCAAAATAAAATTAAGAAAATGAAAGCATTGAAAAAATAATAGTATATTTGTTGACTTCAATAATATATATTTTAAATGCTTCAGTAAAATATTAAAGGGCTTCTCAATTTGAGCAGCTTTAATTTTAAAGATTTATAAGTTTCATTAGTAGGATTTATCAAGCATTACTTCAGATTTTAATAAATTGTAAAATTTGCAATAATTTCACAATGTGTTAACAGTTATTTCAGTGAAAACAGGAATCAGTTTATTGAGACAGAAATATCTCTTCTTCTTGAGAAAGGACTTATGCTCACTTATATTCTGTGATATAATTTCGCACAAATCAAACAAGAGACTATGTTGCTCAGTGCAAGAGAATTAGAGTAAGTTATATATTGAATAGTCTAAAGAAATTCCATTTAATACCAATCTTAATATGAAGTGACCGCCCTGTGGCTAAGTAACTAATGCATTGCACAGCTGCACCACAGGTCCGGGGTTCAATCCCTGGGCTGGGCAAGGCTAAGGCTGACTCAGCCTTTTGTCCCTTGAATGGGTCTATAAAATGAGTACCAGGTTTGCTTGGGGACTAAACATTCTGCGACAAGCTGACCACTTGCTCAGGGCATATGCTGATGGACTTCGGGGCCCAAGGTCAAGGAAGATTTCAGGGCACTGCAGGCTGTTGCACCATTTAGTAATATGAAATTAGATTTTAAAGACCACCAGAATCTTACGAAGACAGTTGCAGGCTGTCAAAAGATTAATAACAATAGGGACACATCAGTTGCTCTTCTTACATAATAATTTATGTTTATCATCAATTTGTAAAAGGAATTAAGAGTTTAGAAATTAAATAAAATTGAAGCAGATTCATCTTAACTTTAATAAAGAATGTGCATAAATGTCTCTAACATAGCACATATGTAAAAATATATATATGCAGATTTACATTAAAGCGTTGACGAATAATTGTTATTATTTAATGCAGTTTCACTTAGCATTCTGTAACATCTAACACTCAGCGTAACTAAACCATTTATTATACAATTATTATATGCAGCTAAACAAATGAAGTAATAAAGCTATGTTTCTATTATGCATTACAGCCATATGCACATTTTCTCATGCTGTGCTTATTATACTTAAGAAGTTCTTTAGAATTATTTCTTTTTCATCTTGCAAATAAGCACAGAGATCTTAACTGCATTTTACAGTCAAAAGTCGTTAATTCGGACACCCATAATCCGGACCTCAAAGCTAAAAACTTTCTGCGCGTGCGCCGCGTTGACACGTGCGCAAAGGCGTTTACGAATGCGCGTAAGACCTTTACGACTGCGCGTATGTGTGTGCACAAGCGCAGAATACGTTTTCGCGTGCGCGTTTAATGTATAACGGACGGTATAAGCTAAAATTATCCAATTATCTATTTCAGTTAATGTTGATGATTGCATTGTTCTTTAATCTTGGAATTGGATGCGCTTATTATTTTTTGCAGACTATAAGAACAATTTTATAAAAGTAAACTTGAACTTTTGATTATGTCAAATAGAATTTCCGATGCTGGAGCTCCCAAAGGATCTACAAAACGAAAGTATGTTTCGATGTCCGTCAAACAAAAAGTGGAATTGCTGCAAAAAATGGATAAAGACATGAAGAAGGTGACAGAGAGGTTAGTGAAAACGAAAAAATTTCGATTGACAAGTTAGTCGGTATTCTCGGCACAGCAATTATGGGACTTGAACAGCGGAACTTTGTAACTGAACAAAAAATTATGTCTGTTTATTGAATTAAAGAGAAAGTATTATCACATAAAACGAAGCAACTTAAACAACTTACATTGAAAGAAATGTTTGATAAATTAAACAAATAAATATTAAGCCTTTTTTTTTGTAAATTTTGATACCCTTTAGATCATAATTGTTCTTTATTTCATAAATTACGGTTTCATATTTTTAATTTAGAATTTCTGCATGCCATCTTACGAGATTTAAACTGATGATCTATAATCCGGAATCGCCAAAGTCCCGACGAGTCCGGATCAACGACTTTTGATTGTACATGTAATATGCTTCCTCTTTCCCAGGCCACAACATTCATTTTGTATTCTGCTATAATACATTTGTTTGTTAAAAATCTGCTGAATGAATTTCATGTGGTAATATTCCTAAATAAGTTTCAAGACTTCTCAAAAACAGAAAACAACCTTGCTAATCATAACTGCTTAAGTATTGAATGAAATTTAAAGCACATTAGTGACATATTTTTTGTTTCTTATGTATATTTCAAAATTCCTCAGACATCAAAGAAAAATCAAATTTTTAGAAAAATCTGAGGCATAAAAAATTCATTTGAAATATTATAAAATTGCACTTCAGATGTATAATATTAACTAATTAGTGTTTATCAAGTAGTGTGAATATAAAAGAGATAGACTATAAAATGTAAGACGAAATTTTGATGTTTAAATTGAAATACTCTTAAGGAATTAGTCATAAGCAGTCAGTATTTTTGTTTATACTTCCTTTCTGATATGCAATCTCATAATTATAAACGTTGTAGATTATAAGACTCATCATGTAAATCTTGGGTTAGTTCTAGTATTGATCTTTATCTAAGCTAAAGGATGGTGATCAATCGAGTTTGAAACTGCATTTGTCATTCCAAGTAGCACTGCAATTTTTTCAAAGCATGATTAATGGCTGCTGAGGTATTTTCTTCTGAGGATGCTGTTTTTCACTGTTGATGGTCTTGCTCAACTATGGAATAGGATACTTCTCTCCCCGTCATTGGATTCATTCATCTATAAAATGATTTTTTTAACTTGCAGCATATGCTAATTATTATTTAGGTAAACTATCATTCATGTGACTAAATGCATCCTTATAATTGTTTGGTCCAGGGGCCTGGGCCTTTTTCCTTCCCATGTCATCTTATTTTTTAGCATTTTGATTAACCCTGTCAGGACTAAAAATTAAATCTGCCTTGGGATGTAATGTCCCATTAGTCTCAAAATGTTTAATAGGCTCATTAAACTTGAAAATATTGGACTGTATTGCTAATAATTTTGCACTTTCAACTCTTGGGATTAGATTGCAGATATTTGCACTGTATCTGAACTGCTTGAGTTCTCTCATGCAGGTATTATGCGGTTAAATGCCCTGTGTTTAGAACTGAGAATTAATACATTCAAATATATGAATGATTTCATGTTAAAAAATAACTAAATTATGATGATGTGAATTAACACATTAAAAAACAAAAATTGTATAATAAGCTTTGATGTTATAAAATTGCTCAGAATGTTGTACAGGTTGCGAATACAAATTCTAAACATAATAATTTTCTGAGTTGCCAAAATGTTACAGAATAATTCTCATAAATAAGATAATAAATTGGGGTAATTGAGAATTTATTCAAGTTTACTTTCCTGTATGATCAAAATACTGGTGGCTGTATGGAAATTGGGAAGAGAACATTTGTTAATACTGTACTGTAATTGACTGTACTGCATAAGTTATTCATAAGAGAGAACTTCCTTTTACAGAGTATTACAGCAGTTGCGTCCATTTGTTTGCAGTTTAAATCTTGCATATTGCAGAACTAAATTATTTATTATTTGCTGCAGTATAAATGCATTAAACCATTAATATAATTATGCATTTATATACCAGTGGAATCTGCAATAAAATTCTTACTGTACACTAGTAGGAAAAAAAAAATTCTCTTCCTCTCCTCTGTACAGTTTCTGTTTCTGAACAAAATGTAAATTAATTGGTTTATTAGTTAACTGCATTAATTATTGAATTAATTATGTTAAGCAAGGTCCTCCTGTCTATGTTTTTGCATTTATGAAATCAGAATTCACAGTTTTTTTTTTTTTTTTTCATTACATGGTTTTCAAGTATTTTGAAATTTGGAGAAACTGTTATGTCATCATCTAGGCCTAAATATTTTTTAATTAATCTTTGATCAAAGTGTGTTAGTGTTATTATATTCTTATAATAACATACAAGGAGTATTTTTAAATAAAATTTGAGTTTAAAATGTTAGTATCACTGTAGATTATTATCACTACAATCTGAGATTTAAATATGGATATACTCAGGTAGTGTGGTTTAGAGGTATCTTGCTTTATATTAGGTAAAACAAAGATTTTTTATTAAAAGTGATTTGTTTCCTTCCCAAAAGAAAAAAATATTTTTCGTTTAATGTAATTTTTTAAAAGTATTTTTTCTTTGCAGATGTAGACAATGTTCTTCAGAGGATGACCATTATAGGTGTTATAATATGTTTTCGTAGTTTGGCTCAAGATTCTCTTAGCGATGTAAGTGTTTTTTATTGTTATTCCGTTGACTATCTTATATATTTCATCATAAGAAAGGTTGAAATGTACTTTGCATTGTTTAGGTCCTCACAGATCGAATTCCCTTTCTACTCAGTTCTGTGTGTGACTTTAAACATCATGTTCCGAATGGAGATTCTATGGTAAATATGGTTCTGCTTTATCTGTTAGTATTGTATTGCAAAATCATTACATGATATCATTATTAATTTGCTTTTAATATTGAAATGCTATAGATAGTCAGTGAAATGGCATCTGCAGCCGGCCTACCTTGCCGAGTTGACCCAGCTTTAGTTGCAGCATTGCGTTCGCAGAAGAGTGGTATATTTTATTCCTTTACTTCCTTGAATATATTTAATCCTGCAGAATAAGCCGTTAAATATATTTAATACTTTTTTTTAATATTCATTTCATTATTTCCTTTAATCATTATAGACTGGAGTTTTTCTTATACCTTTGAAGTTTTTTTTTTTTTTTTTAATCTCATCTCTTTCTAATCGGTGCTTTCTGATCTCTACCTGTGCCAAAACTATCCCTAATTAAACTATTTTCTTAAAATATTAATGTTAGATTTTGTTGATTATAAGTTAATTAGAATAAAATATGCTGCAATATTTATCATGTCTATTAATTTGTAAATGTGTGAATCTCTTTTCTTCACTTCGTATGGCTAATATATTATTTATTCCTTTAGAACTTGGAGAAGATGAGTATACTGTGGCTTGTTTGCTGATGGTGTTTGTGGCAGTTTCACTTCCTAAATTATCACGTAATGAAGGATCTTATTATAAAGCTTCTTTAGAAGGTATAATTTCTGATTTTCTTTCAAACTCTTTGTGTACTTCATTATGATACAGCAAGTAGCATAAGTATTTGTGCAAGCTGTAATTTGTGTGTCATTAGGAACAATGCTGCAATTTGACTTTCATCTAAAAATGAGTTGCTGAGGTGAAAAATATAATTGAGCTGTAATTTATCAATAGCATGTTAATCATATTAATATAGCCAAAAATTCTACTTTTAATTATTGTTTAGAAAAAATTTTTAAAAATTGTCTTGAGCTGTTTATGTGAAATACTGATCTTCACTTCCATTGCTACTTTCCCATTTCAAATATAAAATTTTTAGGATTTTCTCTTACTATAAGCAATAGCTTTGAAGTGCAAAATATAAAATAAAAATAACTGGAAAATACTTTGGAATATATTCTTATTATTCATTTTCTTGTGGTATGTAGTGTATTTAGTAAATCTCTGGGTGTGAATTAGCATTAAGATAAGACCAGCTATTTAAGTTTGTATTAACTTCTTTGATTGAAAAAAGAAACTGAAACTTTTCATACCGGTTTTTTTCATATCGCTTTCGTACTTTGTGTGAAAACTTGAAAGGGTAAATTAAATATTTATATTCAAGGACAGGACAAGTGGCCTACAGAGCGGCTGCATTTTTTACAAGCTTGTAAAGTGCCTTGAAAAGCTTTCCACCAAGCTATTTTTTCCTGTAGGCAGATAACACTTGCAACTCTACTACAGTCAAAAGTCGTTAAATCCGGACTCGTCGGGACTTCGACGATTCCGGATTATCGATTTTTCCGGATTATAGATCATCAGTTTAAATCTCGTAAGATGGCATGCAGAAATTCTAAAATTAAAAATATGAAACCGTAATTTCTATGAAATAAAGAACAATTATGATCTAAAGGGTATCAAAATTTACAAAAAAAAAAGCTTAATATTTATTTGTTTACTTTATTAAACATTTCTTTCAATGTAAGTTGTTTAAGTTGCTTCGTTTTATGTGATAATACTTTCTCTTTAATTCTATAAACAGACATAATTTCTTGTTCAGTTACAAAGTTCCGCTGTTTCAAGTCCCGTTAATTGCTGTGCCGAGAATACCGACTAACTTGTCAATCGAAATTTTTTCGTTTCCACTAACCTCTCTGTCACATTCTTCATGTCTTTATCCATTTTTTTGCAGCAATTCCACTTTTTGTTTGTTGGACATCGAAACATACTTTCGTTTTGTAGATCCTTTGGAAGTTCCAGCATCGGAAATTCTATTTGACATAATCGAAAGTTCGAGTTTACTTTTATAAAATTGCTCTTACAGTCTGCAAAAAATAATAAGCGGGATCCAATCCGAAAATTAAGGAACAATGCAATCATTCATATTAACTGAAATAGATAATTAGATAATTTTAGCTTACACCGTCCATTATACATTAAACGCGCAGGCGAAAACGTATTCTGCACTTGCGCACACGCATATGCGCAGTAGTCAAGGTCTTACGCGCACGCGTAAAACGCCTGTGCGCATGTGCCAGCGCAGCGCATGCGCAGGAAGTTTTTAGCTTTGAGGTCCGGATTATAGATCATTCCGGATCATGGGTGTCCGAATTAACGACTTTTGACTTTGTTATGAAAATAATCAAATTAATCATCCTTTTTCATCTGTGAAGGTAATATGGTTGTTAAATTGATTATGGCAAAGCATGTATGCTAATCAATCCCCTTGGTAAGAATGCCTTGTAGAGGACTTTCTAGTGTAGATTGCTTCTTCTTTGTGTTACCCATTGGTTACTTAGGTATGTCTAGTTTCCATTAGAAAGAAAAATCCATAAAAACGTAATGCATCCAGTGAATTTCCAATAAACTGAACCCAGTAATCTCAGCTACGCTAAGAATACTTTCATTTTAACTCTTAGTGAAGAAAATTCAATTAGAATGAAACTTTTAAAAGCTAATAATTAAGTAACCATCTGAGGATAATTAAGTATTTTAGCAAAAGGGGATTGTTTTACAGCATTATCATTTTATCTGCATAATTTCATTATATATCCGTTAGTGTGCTATGATGAGAATTCTTGTATTTCTGTTCCACCTCAAGTAAATTAAATCTTTATTTCCACTGTCTTTTAAAATATGAAATACAACTGCATCAAAAGTTACAGAATCTGCAAAATACATGTACAGGGTTTTTATAAAACCTGTATTTATTTTTTTTTTTAAAAGTTTCTGTTTGAAATGTCATAAAAAGAAACTACTAGACCAAATATCCAAATAATTATGTAAAGAAGGTCATGGGAATTTATTTTCCATGAAAAAAAATTAAAAACTCACCACCAAGGAAGAAATGGTGCTGTATATAGTACAGTACAGTACAGTACAGTACAAACTCTTCAATCCAGACTCGTTGGGACTTCGGCGATTCCGGATTAGGGGTTCTTCCGGATTATAGATCGGCAATTTAAATCTGGTAAGATGGCATGCAGAAATTATAAAATTAAAAATATGAAACCATAATTTATGAAATAAAGAGCAATTATGATCTAAAAAGTATCAAAATTTACAAAAAAAAAAAGTAATATTTATTTGTTTACTTTATTAAACATTTCTTTCAATGTAAGTTGTTTAAGTTGCTTCGTTTTATGTGCTAATACTTTCTCTTTAATTCTATAACAGGGTTCGTACGGTCTTAAGAGTCCTTAAAAGTCCTTAGATTTTTTTAAATCGATTTTTGGTCTTTAAAAGTCTTTAATTTTGGCCAAAATCAGCAAAAGGTCCTTAATTTTAATCATCTGAAATTTCTGTCTGTTTTTACAACTGCCATTTTGAGTGTGAATTAGCATTTTGGAGGAATATTTTTGGCGATTCACTGACGTGTATGGCTATCTTTTGAATGGGTTATAATTTGTTTCTATTTCTAATGTTATTGATGGGATACTCGATGTTCTGAGCAAGAAGTGAAACATTAGCATAACAAAATTCAATTTTTCTAATAAGGAGCCCTTAAACAACTTTTCGCTTTTGGTGATGGGAATTCGTTTATTAAACGGTTCTAAATTTGGCGACTTATCAAAATTTTGGTGATTTTAAAATCAGTTTGTATAGAAAAATTTTAATTCCAAGATCCGAGAATTTTTCGACGTTTTTTTTTTAACATTATAACATTGATAAATTTCATTAAAATAATGGTAATATATTGAAATTATATTAAATAAACATTAAAATAAAACATTTTTATTTTCCACTGTCATATTATAAAGTTTCATTTTGGCAACTTATGCAATATTTTGAATCTGAAAAATAAACAAGGTATAATGCTATAAAGCACAATTTACGAAACAGCTCTTAGCAAAAGCAAAATTATCTATTTAATTAATTAAAAATGTCTTCTTTTTAATTTTTTTCATAGTAAGAGTTTTTCCCATGTAATTGTCTCAGAGTATTTAGAATTCTCAAAATGTGCATCAGTTTTCTCTATAAAATAAATTTTACACTTTTCCTCTCTTTTCTTTTTTTTTTTTTTTTTTTTTTTTCCCAAAAACTATATCTGACCTTTTGCTATTACAGAATTGTTAGGGATAATTTTTCTTTAGAATTTTAGACATTGCAGCTTGGAAAGTGTTTAGAAGGATTTGAAGGCAAGATTTATAGAGCCACGATTCTAGAAGATTCGAGAAATATGTGACAAAATGAAAAATGTTTCCTTGGTATCAACACGTAATGGATGTACAAAAATGTAAAAATTCAAGTAAAACTTTCTCTTTGAATCTGGTCAGACTTAATACAAAACCACTTATCACCTCTGGTGCTTTAATGGCTTATTGGTATATTAACTGAGTTACAATCCCTGGAACTCTACATGAAGCTACGACACTAACTGTATCAAAAAGAGCCTGACTGACTTTCAACACTTGCCAATCGTGCCTACATCAGGCCTTTCAGGTTTGTTCAAATCAGCAGGTCTCTCTCTAAAGTTTATTTTATTCTCAAACTTATTAATAATTATGTTAATTAATTCATGTTTAGTAATAATGTATACTACTTAGGGATCTATTTTATTTTTAGGATGGTATTACAAAAGTGAAATTCAGGCATAGATAATATTTTAAATTGAATTTATTCACTTTCCATTTGCTCATAGGTCCTTAATTTTTTCATTAATGGTCCTTAAAAGTACTTAATTTCCGTGTGCAGAAATGTGTACGAACCCTGTATAAACAGACATCATTTCTTGTTCATGTTGGTTGTGCATTAGCACTGAAGGCGTAATGAGTACGTTTCCTCAAGCACAGAATTAAAGAATCATAAGTCAAAAGATTAACTACGAAATCTTTATTTAATAAAATAGGATAATTTTGCATAACTTAAGCATAACAATAAAGTAATAATGTTCAAGGACATTAAAATTGAAGCATTCAAAAGAATAACTTACATAGAATCATCATCAGTACTAAATATCATCAGGCTTACCTATATAAGGCAATAAGAAAAATAAACAGGAACATACTTTGCCATCGTACCTGAAAGAGAAGAAAGTACTACTGGATTAGACCTTTGGCCAGGTACAAGTAGCTAGGGTGAAAATCAAATATGCTGCATTGCACACGAGCTTTACTTTCTCTCGCCAATATAGATATACCTTGGCGCACGTTCGTTTTGTGTGCCTTTCGAGTTTCATTATGCAAAATACCTAAATTTATGCTAACATTGCCCCTGTTTTGCTAATGAAACTCACACCAATTGTAATTCATTCCTTCAAAACTGAAATTTAGCTTTAGGAATTGGTTTAGTCATAATATCAGCAACCATTTCCTCTGTTGAAAGATAAGCAAGTTTTACTATTCCTTTGTTATTCAAGTCGCGTATATGATGAACTTTTGTATCAATATGTTTTGTGCGTGAACTGATTTTTCAGATTCTACAAGTCTTATAGTAGACTGATTATCTTCAAATACCTTTATCGGTAAAGTTTGGGGTAGATTGAAATCTTCTGTTAATTTTCATAGCCATAATAGTT